TGGATTGTATGCAATTTATTCACCGACATTAAAATCATTGATCTCTCAACATTATGAAATTAATCCTTAGTTTGGGTAACTACGTTTTTTTCGTGTTTTGTGCGGTTTTGTCGCCACGATGCGTGACTTTATTCATTCATTGCGACGCCGCTTGATTGGATGGCTGGCTGGCCGGAAAAAATCTAACAATTTGTCGACCTTCACGCTAGACCAGACGCCAGCACGAGGAGTTTAGTTTCGATTACGACGCTTCTCGAGGTTTCCGAAGCGTCGAATGCGAGCGAACGCGCTTCGCGGTTTTCCTACTCACGTAGCGCTGGTTAATGAGCAGTTTTGATGCTCATTTTGATTCATTATACGTATCAGACGCGTTTATGATGAGAATAGATTCATTTTTATGGCTTATAAATTATTATTGCTTTTGACATGTCAATTTTCATCCCGATGCTGAGGTGCATTCAATAAATTCAGTTTTTCTACGTGAATTTATTTTTTTCGTTGATTTTCTTGTAGATAAATCGTGTGTAACACTTGTGTTTGCCGTCTTCAAGGCGCTTCTTGCCTTTTCCAGCACGTGGTGGATGTTGAATGGCTGTGGATATTTCTCTTGTGGCTTTACGGAGCAGATGTGTTTGCATACTCGATTGGTTTTCGGCTTCCGCACGAGTACGACGAGTAAATCTCCTGCTACAGAGTTGATTTATAAACTCAGATATTACGCGCATCGGCTAGATACTGCCATGTACTGGTAATGGTCGTAAATCTTTTCATCTTCCACGGAAAAAAGCTTGAAAAATGTGTAAATTATGTAAAAGAGTAATAAACAAAAAATTTATTGGGTTGACCTTGACTTCTTGGGAGAGAACTGGATTTTTATGTAAATATTATCTAATAATAAGTTTGCGATGGTATAATTTACACAATAATCAAAAATGGCATGAACAATAACTTGTACGTGATTGATTTTTCCGCTTGCTGTAATTTTATATGATTTATTATGAATGAGATCATAGAATAATGTTAGTAGATCAATCTTTGTGCGCTTAAATTGATCTTGAAGATTTTCTATTCGAGAAAATCGATAAAAAATGTGTTGTTCAAGCGTATTTTATAAAAATCGGTAATAATGACTAACAAAATAAGAAAATAATTGCTTCCATTACTTTAAAAGTAATTTATATCTATATATTTAACAAAGATGAGTTAGTTACAACATTTATAACTCAAGAACGGCTGGACAAATTTTGATAATCTATGACTTGTTGGATTTGTGTCCGTTTGGAATAGTAGAATAACCATTAAAATATCAAGAATTATTACTTAAAGTCGAAGTCTCTAGTTTTTAATAAAAATTACATTTGCCAAGTGCGGAGCGCAGAAAATATGTATGACACAGTTTGCTCGAAAATAGCGCCTCAATGCCGTTTGCATGTTTATTGTTCGCTATAAATTTATTATAATAATTGACCAACATACTTCTCCGCGTCGGTACGAACGAACTTTTGAACAGATGCTTACGACTGCGATTCAGATGAGAATTGTGACGAGATAAAATTGAAAAGAATTAATCAGAAGATGAATCGTGCTCCGAAATAGGCGATAGATAGAGTTTGGAATGTTTCTTTGTTTGTTTAACCTTGCGCAATTTATTGTCTGTTGCGTGCAGCATCACAAAATATCGGCGCATCCGCGAGAAAATCGTGGTAATAAATATGCTGGCTGAAGAATCAGCGATCGGTGCATTACGACAGTGTTTATTGTAACATTACATTCGAGTGAAGGTAAAAAATTTATTGTTGAGGTAATTTTGCAGATGAATAGAAAATGGCATAGTGGCTCACTTGGCCAATACTTTTATTGTTGCAAATGAAAATTGAAGAAGAAAAATCGTTGATTTGTTGTCTTTTTTATAGCAAATTTTAAATTAGAATTTCAGACCGATATATTTCTTATGAATATGTTTTATATTTTAATTAACTAATAACTATGCACTTCATTATAACTTTATTGCTTGTTTAATTAAACTTTGTTATTAAACTCTAGTCGATTAAGTTAGTGTGTTACACTTGAGTTGTTCATTTGTATTTTTGCGTGCCGAGTGTGCATTAACTTTATCTCTATCGCCTAATATGTGCATGTGTGAGTGTGTATAGTGTACGTCTGTGTTTCCTCGTGAGCTCACGATCAAGGAAACAATGAACTTTTAATCATCACCATTGCGATTGAATTATAAATCATCAGCGCGCTTAATTTCTAACACGTAGATTCGAGCGTGCATAAAGCAAATAACGCACAATTGAACTACGTTCGATATGCAATCTCGCAAAGTGTGCGAGGATTGAAATATGTCTCGCTTTTCTGTTATCTCACAAAGCATTTATATTGCAATATTGCAGAAAATGGTGGAGAATTGTTATGGTGATGTTAATCTTGTCGTTTAATCTTTATGATATGGCGCTATTTGATGCTTTTTATCTCGGTGTTAGAAACCTAGGAATATAAAAATTTAAAGAAATTATTCCATCATGAAAATTATAATTTTATACTTATTAATAGCGCCATTTCGGATTCAATTATTTATTTGTGACTATGAATAAATTTCTACACCAATTTTTAAACAAAATTTGATGTAGATTTTCAAATTTACTATTAGAGATATGAATAATCTTAGTAAATTCTACAAATTTCTAGCAAAAAAACACAAATAAATGATTCGTCACGGTGCGTCATCACAATACATTTATTGTATACCCTGTATATTCCCCTCAACATAAAGATTGAGGGTTATTCAATCTCTGTGTGAAAATGATCACCTGTTAAGAAACACAGCTCCTACTATAATCAAGCAAGCGCGTATCGCTTCTGAACACGAATGCCCAGAATGTTTCATAACCAGTTTTCTTGCTTATTTTCTTTCTTATCCACATGTTTTCCATAGTTATGTGGAGTATTTGATTTCGCAAAATATCGGCATCCAGCGCGCAAGAATCAATTATTGATCACTTAAACTTTCACTAATCACGCACAAGATAAATACCATGTAAGTTAGTGAACATCAAGAACTAGTTTTCGATAGTTCTAAATATCGAATTCAATCGCCGATCGCATCTCGCTGAAAATCCTCTTGCCATACCTCAATTGTAAATCAATGGGCGAGATTAACATGCGAGCGGAAAACGTGAAACGCATCGGATATGCGGATTGCCAAAGAAAGTAACTTTCAGCTTTGTTGACCTCTTTCGAAACAATGCAAGAGCCATACGCATACATTCCGCGCGCGGTTTACCTACAGCGACGTTTTAATATTCGTAATTTTAGTGCGGATGGAGAATCGAAATTGTTATGCGGCCGAAGGAAGGCTGGGCATAAATGAGCGATATGAAATTAAATGCTACATTTTAATCTTTGACTCTTGCCATGCATGAATGCGAATGTACTCAGCGTCGTTGCCAAGTAGAAATAAATCAAATAAAATAAAATCACTTCATGCAAGTTACATGTAGGAAATTGATTTCAAGACATTTTCCGCGTAGGAAATCATAATTCTCGTTTAAATTCTTCGTGATATGAATTACAGCGTTTTTTATTTCGTCTGATGCGCAGGTGCAAGCTCCACCCGTGACTAAAGTACTTTAATCACGTCCGTGATTAAAGTGTTACTTTTCGGGTCTTGAAACCGTGAAAAACCTGCACTTTACAGGTGGAAGTAGAATAAAAATTTATAAAATTATTAAAAATGAAGACAAATGTGCTATTTTAAAATATATCAATAAATTCTTGCATTTTATAAAATCTTAATTAGTCTAAATGTTCTTGTAATGCCTTTGACGTGGACATGGTCGTGGTCTGCTTGCGTGTCCAGTGATTGAGTTGAATAATGCGGATAATTAAAATGATGCTCGGGTTCGGGCACGGGCTCGTGCTCATGCTCCAGTTACAAGAAGCTGATGCACCTGCTAGACAACATATTTGCGCTAGCGGCTTTTGATCTTTTTTGTTTTAGCGTTTGCCGGCTATACGAACACATCGGATATATTTTGTGCTTGCAGGCTAAAGCTTCGTAACATATTTTGCGTGTCTCGGATAGTTTATTGCCGGCATTGCAGTTGATGCGATGCGAACGCAGAAATTATACTTAATTAATGCGTTTATGGATATTGCATTCCATCGCTTGCTTGCAGTGCTGCTAGGAGTAAAATTGCAAGTGAGCATGAAATAAGTATTCAACTTGTGGAAATTTCAATTGGGCATAAATCAATAATGATTATCTCGAAAAGCATATACATTTAAGTCGGATTCGCTGTAGATACTTAATTGTAAAATAATATCTATTAATATCTTCGGATCGTTTTCACCTTTTACGAGCTCGAGTAAAGTTTGGAGCGCGCATCCGCACCGTTATTGGTCATCGTCCTGAAAATGTTTATTCAAATTTGTGTCAACACACTAGCACGAGGAGGTGAAAATGACCGCGCGCGCGCGCGGCGTTCATATTTCCGAACTGCTGCGTTCCAAGACGTGTAATTTCGTGGAATGGAATGCAGCGTGCTTTTCTTTGGCTCTTCTCTCGGCGCACACGCGGAAACGAGTCGTGAAAGCAAGCCTTCCACGAATGCATGCTCGAAAACGAAAACCGAACAAATTACAAACCCACACGATTATTAGCAGCCTCTCTCACTTTGAGATTCCAACATCAACTGCAGTCCAAGAAATTCTTCTTCTAGATGCGAGATAATCATCAGCATAATATGAAAATTGTGCTTCTCTTTTGTTTGTTTACCGTAAAACAATTGCAATGGTTAACAAATGGTTTCCGCGCAGAACAAAACGTCGATTTCCTGTCGTTAAACTTGTCAATTGTGTCATAGCATTTTTACGAGCCATTTTACAATGGCAATTGTTACAGTAACTTGTTGTTATTACACTGTATGTTATATATTTCTGCGAATTGAATAAATCACCAGTGATTGATTAGTCGTGTGCGTTTTTGTTTGTTGCAGGCGAAGCAAAGAGCCTCAGTGAAATGGCTGCTTTCGAAGGCGTTCAATAACAAAGTGCCCGACAACCTCAAGGAGCCCTTTTATCGAGATCATGAAAACCAAGAGCACCTCAAGCCGCAGATCGTCGGGGCACTCGCCAACGCCGAGATGTACTGTCTGGCGCTGGGCAACATCTACTCGGATCCCAACTATCACAATCTTAATCATTGGTCCATCCTGCAGACGCTTTCGCGCAAAGGCGTTTTTGTCAACGATCCAAATGAGATTACCGAGACGACTCTCATACAAACAAATCCACTTCGGATGGTAATTATTCTAGTTTAATTTATATTCGTTTTGTGAGTAATAAATTTTTAATTTTTAGAATGCTCATATGGCTGTGGTGGAATCAATAATGGTTCTGTACGCGAAAGAGGTGGTGACCGCCGATAGGGTAATGGCGGCGGTGCAACGCTTCAGTCACGACCGCTCGACCCTTCTAAATCAACCTGACAACCATCTCGAGGGTTTACTGCACTGGGTCAATCACACTAACGAAGCGCTCGCGAAGAAAATGGAACAGGAGGGTGAGCGCTTGACGAACGGCGATGGAAAACCGAGAAAGTTTGAAATACCGATGGCGAAGGACCTCAAGGATTTATGTGATGGCGCCGCGCTTGCTGGTTTGATATCGTACTACTGCCCTGACGAGCTGCCCACTAGCGAGATGCGCGTTTCCTATGTGCCCACCGTTGCGGACAGCCTGCACAATCTCGGCCTGGTGCAGGATTTTTGCGCGCGATGTTTACCAACGTCCGTGTTTCATATGCTACCGGAAGATATTACGTACATGCGAGGGTATGTAATTCTAAGCTATATCTAGAAATAATTTTTGATTTGTGATTATTTTAGAGCGATGAAGCAAAATCTGATCGTGTTTCTCGCCGACCTGTTCAACCTGCTCGAAATTCATCCGGTGAAATGCGTACGTTATCCTGGTATGGATCGGATGCCCGCCGGTGAGTTGCTTTGCTTTCCACATTTCGTTGACTATATTCGTGTATGTGCGTCGCAGTCGATGTGTGGTCGTCAGTTTCACTTTTTTCTAAATTGTTTCGGCAATCTTCAAGCTCGTAACGAGTTTAATTTTGTTGCTGCTTTTCTATTTCTACACGCTTTGTCAAAATTGATTCGAATCAATACTTTGAGACAGATTTTCTTTTTTGGAACAAAACTGAACATATTTCTCTACACTTTTATTGAGATTATTGCGGTATTAATAATGTGAAACGTTGTAAATTTGGTAAATCTAGGTAAATGTTATGGGTTACTTCGTTGATCAGGTCAATACTTAGTACCTACGCCCAAAGTGATTTGCATAATCAAGATGCAAATCAGCCATTATAGATTTTTACTCCACACGTTCCCAACTACACGCATTAACTGCCGACGAGTAGGCCAAAGACCTATATAAATTTTCCACATGCAAGTCGTCTGGGTTGTGAAACAGTAGAACAGTCGCGCTCCAAGCTTTGAGCGGTCACCATCGACTCTTTATCCGCAATAATTCTTATTAATACTCTTCGGTTTTCTTCTTTCTTTGCTCACTTACCACTTGGACTAATCCAATTACTTACTTGCGAAGCAACTAAACTAATTTTAAAAATATATATTTATACTACTTGCAAGCGTTGATATATTTTTAATCCCCTAAGCATAATATTTGGTGGTTGGCGTAGTTATGATACTCTAACTGTATATTTTTGGTGTGTGTGGTATTGCGTAGAGGGTTATCCGGCGCGTAACGCCCACGGGGTCGCACACAAACGCAACATACCACCGACAAAGGTCATGACTCCGATTCCCGACCTGCGGAGTGGTTTAGATGGCCCAGTCGGCGCACATCCTTTTCAAGGTAAAATAGAAACACACGACAACATCTCGCCAGACAGCAGAGGGCTCATTATTTTGTTCCTTTCTTTATATTTACTATTATCATCGTGAATGCAAGTCACGTGTGCTGTGTGCTGCAATCATTTCGAGCGGTCTGAAGTAGTGATACTGTTATCATTTGTCTGATTAGATTGCCGAATATATAAAATATGATTTGTTGGTAGTAGGTATCGAGAGTCATCAGTGCGCGGAAATTAATTTTTTTATTCTTCTGTAACACAAGTTTTGGGTTTTTGGTGCTACACGTAGTGGCTGCATGTGTAAATATTTTTAGATAATTGCGAACGCATGGCTTTTACTAAAATTTCATTAAGTTTTTTTAATTATAACACTGATAATACTCCACATACTCCACCTGTAGGTTTAATTATTTGTTTATGTTAAGTAAAGCTTTGAAACGTGGGCGTTTTTAGTTGATATATTTGTGTATATTGTGAATTTTGATTTGTTTTTCTCTTCCTTAGTTATAAGAACACCAACGCATCAGCCATTGCGTAAAGCCAACTCACTACAGCAGAGTGTGTCTGACATGAGCGTGGACAGTTTGCGCCGCGCGCCTGAAGAGTCCTTTGTGGTACATCGCGTGAAAAACATCCCAACGCTGAGTTCGATGATACAGGATGAACCACAGGCGCCCGTGCGCCTGCACGCCAACAAAGAGAAGCTGAATCACGACACGAAAGCCGACGAACGCGGCGATAATGTCCCAGCGGGACGCCCTAGCAATTGGAATGAAAATAAGCGCACGTTTGCTGGCCGCCGATCGAGGCGCAATTCTACCTCGGACGATTCACAACTTACAATAGAGAATTTCGGTGGTAGTCAAGATAATCTCAACTTCATCGGGAGAAATCCTGATAAAGAGGTAGGTGCGCATGTTGGTAGGAAGATATCAGCGCCATCGATGGCAATGCCAGTGCCCATCGATAATCCTGCGGTGCGGTCAACGCTACAGGACGCGCGAGGGTCTTTCCAGCTGGGATTCGACAATGGTTGCGAAAAGCACGAGACAGAGGTAGAGAATTTTAAATTGAAGCGGCAGTTGAGCAGCGATGACATTGCCATGCGGAATATCATGCACGAACGCAACAAGGAGAATATTCTACAGGATGTGGTTGATGCTGATGTACAGAAAAAGTTTATTGGTGGTATGTTTTTCACAAACAACTAAATTTTAGTTTTAATACGTTTCATTTTAGGTACACAAACGGTTTATATGCAACACGAAAATGACACGCCTTCTAAGTCGAGTTTCCTGAACAAAAGCAACACCTCCAATGGCGGCGAAAAGAAAACAACGACTTTTGCAACGCTACCAAATACAACCACGTGGCAACAGCAAAGTACTAATTCGTCGCAGTCTGCAATGGATGGTGATGATGCCAAGGGTGATCAATTGGTATCGCCGCAGCTGAACGACATCCGAATGCAGCTGGAGGAGAAGCGGCGACAGATTGAGAATGAAAAGAGGCGCGTGGAGATGGCGATGAACAAGCAGCGGCAGAAGGTCGGCAAGGCCGCCTTCCTGCAAGCGGTCGTCAAGGTGAGCCACTCGCTAACCGCCTACACGCACACATTACGTCATAAATATTTGTTGTTTGCGGATTGATCGTGTGGGTGTGTGTTTGGTGTGGTGTAATGTGTGATTTTCTAATTTCCAGCTAACCGAAATGGTAAGGTGCAGATAGTGTTTTGCACTTGCTCATTTCGCGACTGGATTCGTACGAACCAGAATGCCAGTTGCACAAAGTATATTTATTTGCGTTTTTGTTTTGTTCTATTGTTACTCTATGTGTTTTACTCAATAGTTCTAGTTGTCTATCACAGAGACTTCAATGGTTTGTGTTTGCATGCGTTAGATGTGTGTGATTAACTTATTTTATTTACAACACCCAATTTTTCTCTCAATTTACATGTGTGCGGATGCGTAGTTGCGTTTTGTATTTCCGGTAGTAACATTGGTGGTGGTGGTTTTGTTTCCAGGGTAAAGGTGGTTTAGTTAAGTCGTCCTCCGATGTGATGGTAGATAGTTTAATGACGACTGGTGGTTCGGAACCCACCAGTCCCACCGATACGGCGTGCTCCAGCGCCGCCAAACCCGAACGTCCGATATCCTTCAAGGTATAATAACAAATGCACAGAAACCACTCTATCGGAAAACTAATAATAATTGCATGTTTACATGTTTGACACTCGTTTATTGTTTGCATTCGACTGTAAATAATCTGAATCAACACGATCGGACGTTGTTTTCTTTTGTTTTATCGGATTGTGTACAGTAGCAACATGTTCTAGTGCAATTTATTTAGTACAAATTACAAATAATTATATCGCAATAGTTTTTCGAGATGATTCATTTGGGAATTTTGCTTATCGCTGATTTAAGATGAGTTTTAAAATCTAATTGCGATCTAATGATTCAGTAGTAGCTTTTGTTTTTGTTTGTCAGATATTTATTTTGTTTTTTGTAGGATATATCTGATGAAGTGTCAGCGGTTGAAAAGAAGTGGATGGATCCTGATCAACCCTTTTATGAAACGCGTCGGACCCCGGACATGGAAAATATGGATGTCGAAACGTATCAACAGTCCATCTCACAGTAAGTTTTTTTGGTTTAAATTTAATTTAGTCGCTTAACTCTACAATAAGCAATCTCACAGACATTTTGGATATATTTTATTAAAATTTTGTTGACACTTTGCTCGTTGTTGCAGCATGAATTCTAGTCTTCACGATATTCAGGCCGATATACAAAAATTAGTCTCACAGCAAAACCAAATACAACTAGCGCAACAACAGCAATTTCTGCAACAGCAGCACAAGCACCTGCTGCAACAACAGCAGCAACAACAAGGCTTCCACCATCCTGCGGCGCCATCGGCCTACTCGCAATCCCCTTACCACCAATATCCAACACAGCCACAGCAGCCGATTTATAATAACACGCTGCAGACGAGTACTAGCGCTCCGCACATCCCCCCACGTAGCGTCTACCACCAGCCGCGTGTCCCACAGCCCGAACCACAATTCTTCCTGCACAGCCAGCAAGATTCACCCATACCGCCGGCGGTGCCACAACGTCGCACCTGGGCACAACAGGCGCAAATGCCACCCGTGTCCGTTTCAAATGACCCACCTTATCAGCACTCACCTCCTCAGCCCGAAATGCGTACATGGGGTAAACCACAAAATCCCGCCGGTTTTATGCTTCACGACGTCGAACGCTCGCGCGATAACGATCGCTTCCATGACAATCGGTATCATAACGGCGGTGGCGGCGACGTTAGCATGAATCATAATACCTCCGCCTCTAATACTGGCTTTACGCTCAGCCAGCAGCATCAATTGTTTTCTGGTTCACATCATAGTACGCCGAGCACGTCGCCACAGCATCGCCAACACCGCCAGATCTCGCAACTGCTCGACTCAAAGCGCTCCTCGCCGATATCCCTCCAGAACATGGAGCCTCAGCGACCTGAACGCGAGCGCAAGAGTAACATCATGCACGCTCCGATACCTGCGCCTCCCGCGGACGATATGGAGCCACAGAGCATATCGTTCATTGCCAACCCCGACGACCAAGCGGCGGAAAGCCTCAGCCGCCTGAATATCACCTCTGGTAGTCGGACGTATCGGATACCATCGCCGACGAGGCCGCTGATCACGCGCCACTCGTTTCAACCAGCCAGCGCTGAGCGAGTTGAACGTGTGGAACGCGTCGATTCTGAGCCGGAGCCCGCCGAAGAGAACAACATCGACAACAATAAAAAGGGTTTCTATATTAGCTTCGACAACGAACAGCCGAAACGGCCCAAGCCGCCGCTACGCACCAAGAAAGGCAACTCGCCGAAAAAGGAGCGCAGCTATGTCGAAGATGCAGACATGGAGGCGGAGCGTCGGGCGCAAGCCGCTGATAAGCAAGAGCGGAAGCTGCAGTTGGAGCGCGAGCTCGAGCAGGAGCGGCTGAAGAAAGAGGCCGACGAGCGGCGGAAACAACATCAGGAAGCTCTCGCGGCGCGGGAAACTACTAGTCAGGAAAGGGAACGAGTCAATGCTGCCTCTGCCATAATTATAGGAAACGATCTTAGTAATCCGGATCCGGTAAGTTGAGGATAACTTAATATAAAATAATATTGATTGATTTTATGTTGAATTTTATAACAGGAAAGTGTTGACGAACTGGAACGTAAAAAAGAGCGCATTCTAATGATGTCGCTGCAACGGCGACAACAGCAAGAAGAGAGCAGGGTGCGCAAGGAAGCCGAAATGCAGGCGCGTCGCGAGAAGGAAAAGGCCAAGGATGAGGAAAAACAGCGACGGAAAGAGGAGCAGGCTGCGCGGCGGCAGGCAATTCTCGAACAGCACAAGATGAAGAAAGCATTCGAGGAGGCCGAGCGAGAGGTGAGGCAGCAATTAGGCGCTTTTAGTGCGGAATTTATTTATAAACATACTCAACTCTCCAGCCACAGAGCTTTCTTTGGCTAAGAATAGTTCGAGTACTTCCTTATTTTAAGAAGCGAAAACTTCACGAGTCGAATGCGATTTAATTCAGTAGAATCTCCACAGTCATTTGTTTCACAACACAACAGTCAAACCAAAACATGTCATTTATTTATTGGTCATTGGGCACACCAATGGTTAAACAATTCTTAATTTATTTGGGTTTAATTTAATTGTTTGGGTGTTTTTTAGGGTAAAGAAGTTGATAAATCGTTGCTCAATGCGCTGAAACCCAGCGGCGGGCCAAAGTTACGCGGCAAAACCACCGGCAGACCGCGACCGAAGACCATTCACATTGATAGCGGTAGCGTTGAAATGGCGGAGGGTATGCTGCAACCCGCACGGGGCAAAAAGGGCTCCAGCTCCAATTTGACTGGTAAGTTTTTGTGTATTCTTTGATCAAAAATTTTGCTTTACAGTTTAATTTTCCTATTATGATTTACATAAACCTTTCAGCTTTTTTGCAAATTATTATTTTGATTTTGTTTGTTTCCTAACTCTAGCTAACTCGTACACCCCGTCGACAATGAAACGAGATTATTACAGAGGTTCACAAGACAGCTTAGCTAGTAGTGGATTATTATACAAAGGTTTGTTTGCATTTTATTTCGTTTCGACATTTTAAATATCTCCAACTTATTTTAAACTTTTCATGATGCATTTTTTACCTTGTGTCTTTTGTTGTTATACTGTGATTGCTGTGTCATTTGAATAGTCATATTCTTAGTCATCATACATTCAACTATTCAGAGTTGATTTGTATTGGGTATTCGTCGTGTGTAATTGTATTGAAAGTGTGCGTCTCGCGTGTTCGTTTCAGATTCCCCTGATGATAGTCGTGGCATGTCGCCGTGTCATAGTGCCAATCAGACCCTGGGACGTCGCAGTTCATACAAGACATCTCGAGGTTTGTAGCTCATCGCTCTCTCATAAGCCTCCTACTCTTTCTCTTTTAGCTTTCGATTCTTTTCACCCCAAAAACCCCTTGGTTCGTTCGTATTTTCGTTTCGTAAGAACAAGATTGCAAATACTTGAACACATGACTACACTAATTCAACTCCTCCGCCACCTCTATCAGAACCCCCACATTCTCTGATTGATTTGACTGATTGATGTGTGTAGCTTAAAATTAGTTTTGTGATTGCGCGTATGTCCCCATTTCATTCAAAATCATCTGCGCGAAAATTGTCTCGGGCGTAACTTCGAGTCTCGCTCGCGTTGATTGCTGATTTGAGCTGAGGTGACTCTCTTGATTAGTGTAAGCATCAAGTTGACTGTTGTATGTATTCTATATTATTCAATCTCACACACACCTTGTATCTATTACATCTTGTTGTTGGAGATATTTTGGGTGGAATGGAGGGTTGTAGGTTGTATGTATATGTAATTTCCAGACCCGTCACCGGCTCAGACCAGAGGACGCTCTAAGTATGCTACTTATCAAAACTTTAAAGGTCGCAAGTCAAACTCTATGATGAATTTGTACGGTAAGAACCTCTCGCCCACTCTTCTCTCTCTTCTCAAAAAAAAAAAAATCAATGTTGTCTATGACTTCTTGCCTACTTTTATGTCTGCTGGTCATTTTCTTACCCGCTCACCTCACGTTATTGCGTCGTTTTTGCGTTCCGGGTTAATTTTTGGTTTCGGTTTCGTTGGTGGTGGTTGATTTGATAGTTGGTGCCTGTTTTAAGTGCTTGTGGTAATGGTTATTGATGATGTTTATTAAGTTTAAGGCCCTAAGTTGAACAACATGGTGTCCCTCCTCCAATGATTTATGCTCATTTATGTTTCTAGCGAATGTTTATAACCGAATTTATTTATGTTGAACGTTTGAATGTGCTTGTCCCTCGATTTCAGATTTTTGCCCATTTTTTTTTTTTGGTTACAGTGTATGATCTATTTTAATCTCGATGTCATTTTTAACAAAACTGATGCGGTAGACTGGTAGAGGATTACTGATCACAAACAAACATATAATCTTGAAATAACATGCGTTTATTTATGGTCAGTAGGGTCTCGATAACAATTTCACTCACACTCAGTGGAATAATTCACAAAATATTAATACAGTTAGTCGCATAGAACGGATACTCCTAGAGTCCTAGTGCGTTTCATTATATTAATGCTGAACTTTTCACAATATTTCAATTCGATTTTCAAGTTTATAATAATCCAGTTGTTAATGAATTGGTGTAGGTATTTAATTTGTTAATGAATTAATAAGTAACCTGGGCTATAGTTGGTTGGGTACGCGTGCGAGCGAGGATTCTGATTGATTTTTCTGTGTCTAGGATCGAGTACCGATCAGGACAGCTACGCGTATCGCTACGGTGACACCGACAGCGGGCTGGGACGCGCAACCCCACCACGAAGAGCACCCTCGCCCGGAATGGGACCAATGCGACACCTTACGTCACCCTCGGGTCCCGGCAGTCTGCCTGGCATGATGACGAAGCGACGTTTCGACGACGGATCCAGCGATTTGAGCTCGACTAGTAGTATGATGGATTACACAGGTAAACTCATTTTATTTTTATTTATTATTTTGTATTAATACCTTCTGTTTTAGGTCCAAGATTGTATAAGCAACCAACGACGAAATCCAATCGGGGAATAATGTTGAACGCTGTGGAATACTGCGTGTTTCCCGGAGTTGTGAATAAGGAAGCAAAGAGTCGTGTTCTCGAGGAAATCGCGCGCTCGGAGAGTAAACATTTCCTGATACTCTTCCGCGATGCCGGTTGCCAATTCCGCGCGTTGTACTCGTATTGCCCAGACCGCGAAGAAGTTGTCAAACTTTACGGCACTGGCCCGAAACAAGTTAACGACCGCATGTTTGATAAATTTTTCAAGTAAGTAACACTTTTTGAACTCCGAATCGATTTCATTAGTAATTTACATCTACTAAATTGTAATTATTATCTCCTTCAGGTATAACTCAGGCGGAAAATGCTTCGCGCAAGTTCACACGAAACACCTCACAGTCACTATCGACGCGTTCACGATCCACAACTCGCTGTGGCAGGGTAAAAAGGTCAACCTGCCGAGCAAAAAGGACATGACGCTCGTCATATAGTAGCGCGATTTGTTTTTTTCTACTACATACTTCTGCTATTCAACATTACTACCAAATACGCCGCCGTCTGCGTGACACGTTTAATGAATATTAAAACAAGCAAACATTTGTTATCTAGCGAAATGAAGCAACAAAAAAAAAACTACTAATGTATTTTGAATTAATCTTTTCTTTAAATGGATGCGTTTTAAATAGTGGCGCGGGCGTGGTTTTATATTCACGTGTCTGATGATTTTTTAACGAAACATATTTATTTCTTTTATCGCTCTCTGTTGGATTACGATCGTTCACGTTCGTATTACGTTTTGTTCGGATAGATTTGTTTTCGTATTTTTTATCGCTCTTGTCGCATCATTGTCTCACACGATTCTAATAATATTGAATAATGAAAATGTCCATAAATGAACAATAAATTATGTAAATCTCTTAGTGTCATTCCATACTAATAGTGGCTGTATATTCTTTGTTAATTTATTATCTCGTTTCCGGTTCGATGCCGACGTGGTATGATGCTGTTCTTGAGCCGACAATTATTGTTTTTCCTTTACTGGGCGGGCAAGCGATATTTTGTGGCGCGCCGTACGCTTAGGTGATGAATTTTGTTTTACGTATTTCTGATTTTGCGGAAACCTTTACCAAAATTCGAACTCAAAATCATTTCTCGAGCCGATTGTAATTAGAAATGCATTCGAAGCGTAACTATTCGGAACAATTGTTTTGCGCTCGATCTAATCGATGTTATAAACAAGAATATTCATAAATATTTTAATAATTTATGCTAATATTATGCGTTATCATAAAGTTTAATAAAGTCATCTAATTTTAATCGACTGTACATGTTTGTGTAAAATCACCACTGTTTCTTAATGCAAGCTAATTATTATGATTCGGTATATCTGTAAATATTATGTTTTTATAATATATATTGGTAGATATAAAATAATCACTGAGCGTCCATATTTTTTGTCGATCGGAACACACTACCCGAATAACGCATTCCTTTTCTAAGGGATTAACTGTTGGCATTGAAATCATGTCAAAAGGAGCTGAATTTCATGCAATTTCATGTTTTAAACTCTAAAAAACTTGGCAAAACAAAAAACGCATGTATCCTGTGAAAATCAAGCAATTTGGGTTTTTTCAAAGTCATATAATAGATAAGAAGCCCCAGGAAAACTTACATTTATTAAAACGTAAAATGGGCCATTTTATTCTATAATTTTATAATAGTGTAAGTTTTTAGTTCTAGATGGCACTGTTCATGTTCTGATGGAACTGTGGTTGCCAACTATTGAAAGTTTTGAACTGTTCAAGGATACGCAAATCCTTTCATTGTTTACAAAGTGAGCTCATTATTATGCACACGCAAATCGTTTAATGTTATGATAATGAAATTCCACGCATTAATTATCACCGCACGTTGAATGCGCCTCCGATCGAACGTGCCGGCGCGCTTGGATCTACTCCAGTTTTTCTGAAACACGCTTTTATAAATAACTCGATGTCGTGCGCGCGTCGACGACGGCGCTCGCTCGGCGCTCAGCTCGCCGCTCGCAGGCAGCTTAAGTCGGATCCCGGAGTCGTAAACATGCTACTCGAAGCCGTCGCGTCGCACCCGCGAGCCGTATCGCATAATGTGCGCGCCGAGCTCTGATAAGACGCGTGACCGTGTGTGTGAACTGCGATGTGAGCATGGAACCGACAACGGACACCACCAGCTCCACCAGCAGTGGCGGCGGCGCCGGAGGGGGCGGCACATTCGATAGCATAGTCGTGACCACGCATGACCTGCAGGACTGCTTCGACGAGAGTCTGGATGCTTGTTTCAGTACGGTATTCGAACAATCACCCGTGATCAACTTCAGTCGGCACGCGCAGGATGATGAGCGACCTGAGAATTCGACGTACTTGGGCAAATTGCACGCGCAGGACGAAAGCGCTGGGTAAGTCCGGGGGCGTTCGAAATGTTTGGAAGAATCCTGCAATCAGAACGCAATAATACTCCTACGCTTTGCAATTACATAAAAAAATCAGGGCATCATCTTGCCAAATTTAGCGTGATGCGAATTTCGAAGGATAAATCAAAAAATCGCCGCGCCTCTCGATTACGCACGTCCCACCACGAACGCGGAAACTACTTCATCAACTTCAATATAATCTATATCTGTACCAGTGGAACTTGCACCATTGCTACTAACCTATACAATGTAAACGAGCAATCGAACAATTTGCATAATAACTTTTTGCCTTGTTTATAAGATCGCTTTGTTCACATTATTCTAGTCACGTAGTGGGTCATGTGTATTTAAAGTTGCCTGCTTAAAAACAATTTTTGTACAAAATGTTCAGAGTAAAAAACAAAACTTGTTTATACCGCATTATGTTTACAGCTACATCCATCACACAATATCGCCGAATGAGATTTACATGCACATCAATCCGGGTGATTCCGGTTTTATGCCGGATGAGCCCTCGCATGCCACCATCACCATTCACAGTACCAATCCGGAAACCAAAGAGACCACCGTCAATCGCTTCAATTGCGAATATGATGGCTGCCTGCGCACTTACAGCACTGTAGGCAATCTGCGGACGCACATGAAAACACACAAAGGTCCTTATCCTTATTTTTATTTTCAATTTTTGAAACCTAAAATAAAATTAATTGACACCCATAGGAGAATTCCGATTTAAATGTTCGGATCCCAGTTGTGGGAAGGCGTTCCTCACTTCGTACAGTCTGAAAGTCCACGTGCGGGTACACACCAAGGTCAAACCCTTCGAGTGCACGCATAATGGCTGCGAGAAGGCTTTCAACACGCTTTACCGGTTGCGCGCGCATGAAAGGTTACACAATGGTAGAACTTTTAATTGCGACTCAGGGGGATGTATGAAGTTTTTTACAACTCTCAGTGATCTCAAGAAACACATCAGGACGCATACCAAGGAAAGGCCTTACAAGTATGGCATAAAATATTTATAAAATAATTTGTTTAATTAATATATTGTTTATTTTTAGATGTGCTGAAGAAGGATGTGGAAAAGCGTTCACCGCCAGCCATCATCTTAAGACACATCTGCGCACGCACAGCGGGGAACGTCCCTACGCATGTGCTGCTAATGATTGCACGCGTGCTTTTGCCACTCAACATAGTTTAAAATCCCACATTAAAACGCACCTTAAAAGCAAACACGCAAAGGACGATCCCGAACAAGTAGACAATCCGAATCCAGATAATGAAAAGCAGGATAGTGGTGGATTAACGGAAACAGAAGGAGTCAATTGGAATGATAATAACGGTTTGTACTTTGAAAGTGTTTTTCTTTGTCATTTTTCTTCTATTTTCGTTGATGATGTTTTGCAGAGCTTGCGGAGTTCCAATCTTACGTGACGCAGCCAAACGACGACATCTACCTGGAAAACCAACAATATGTGTCAGCAATCGAAAAAGATCTCACCACAGACTATGAAATTGCCAACAGACTCAAAAATTACGCGACTGTGAATACAGCTGAGCCGGTAGCAACGCATTTGCCGTATAATTTAGGCACCGAAGGTGTTGAAAACGAGGAAACCATAAAAGATACTCAAATGGAGCTGAATGAAAACTCCATTATCACTGAGATTGAAAATGCCGGCCTGGATCTATACAATTTGAAAACGTGTGACTACTCAGCGGATGCTGAGCTCAGTTTGAACAAACAGTTGTATATGCCAGAAGCGTTAGAGATGTCCCTGGTAACAGAGGAGGAAACTCCTTCCACTTGGATTGATGCCATGAAACTACTCAACACTGATCCTGTGAATATTTATGAGTCTATCAACGAGTCCCCGATTGCTTTGCCCACCGCCATTCAGACTTATATGCATTTGGAGAATACTCCACTGGTCCCACAGATGAAAGCGCCTAATAGTGACGTCAATCTGTTGAAAAACCTTACAGCCGACGCGGATATTTGCAAATGCGTCGACTGTAAATGCGGGCCGTTTAATAATTGCCAAGGGAATGATGAGAGTGGATGTTGTGGTGGCAAAAAATCATCAACAGCAACAACAACTGGTAATAACACATACGAAACGTACTTAGAACAACCGGTAGCGCCATCTACAACACAACAAAATACTAGCTGTTGTGGCAGTAGTAAAAGTAATGAACCACCGACAACTGCTCCTATTGTGTTAGAAAAAGGATGCTGCGGGAACAAAACACAAACAAATCCAGTGCAGCCAACGACCCATCCACCATCATCGGATTGTTGTGTAGTTGTGTGTCTTAAATCCTTAGAACAACTAAAGGACATGCTCACGAAAGCAAAAGGATGCGGTGCGTTTGAAAAATTGACAATCGGTTGCGTGCCAAGCGAACTATGCGCAGTAAAAAAATGAAGTGAAGGGAAAGAAAAGCGCAGTATTTTAAAGCCTAGCTGATTTCTAAAAATGTTTTCGCCGATTAGACTGCAGTGTGATATTAATTAGAAACAAAAAAAGAGAAAAAAAAATTGAATGCGTTAATGCTTATAGCAGCCATATTATTATTTTTTTATATGCGATGTCAGTAAATTGCTTCTTTTTCTATTTGTAAGCGACAGTCAAGCGTGTGTGTGTGTGTGTGATACATGAGATGACTCGAAATGCTAGTCAACAAATGTGTATCAAAGTGCAATATTCACAATATACGAATTGAATGAGTAAGCAAAATGGCGACACTCACCGTTACAGTGTGAACTGATAGTGCGTGATTGAATTCATGCGCACGCATTCGGAATGTTCCAGGACGTTACCACAACAGGACCAGTGTCTTCTACCTGGATGACCTTCATGACCATGACCGCAACCCTTGTATCCGCCGGGCATTCTACCCTTGCAACCGCACGTTGATTCTTTGCTTCCTCCGCTTGAGCAGAACGTGCAGCAGTGGAATGTTCCATGATGTGGACGCAATGAACGAACAAGTATCGTAAATGGTGATTCCTGATATAAAAAAAAACATGGTTTCATATTAAGGTAGGCAACCAAATTGACAGTAATGTTGTTTTGCAACTTTTACGTACTTTGAGCGATTCCCCCTTTACGCCGACGTGTAAAAATAGTTTTCCCGCGACGTCAGGGACGAATTGTAGCAAATAGCTGCCGTCGCGTCTATCCTCGACGTGAACAGGAAGGGTGCGTGAAGTTCCGCCGTCGCGATGCCGCAATTCAGCGCTGACTTGTTCTCCGCCGCGTTGTAATGCGTTGTCACTGCGGTCGCGCGTCTCTAGAACTGCTTCCGCCCTTCGACCAACCCTCAGATTCTGTAAGCCTGCATCATTTGTCAGCGGTAAATTTACTGCGTCGGATATGCAAAGTCAAAACATGTTTGGATAAACATAACCAAACACGTGGCACGCCCGGATATTAACACATCAATTAGGCAACACAAACAGCATTTGTATCAGTAAATATAAAGATACTTACCATTGGTATGCAATACGCAGTGCTTCACTGAAATTGTTTGTGTTGTTATTACGCCGTAAAGTGGACAACACGCATTCTCACTGGTTGATGACACCTCCTCGGGTAGAAACTGCAGCGATTCGCTGATTTTTAATTCGGGTAGTAACGCCTCTGATTTATAACACACTTCAAGGCGTTTCATGACAGGCGCGACAAAACTCAACAATTCAATCTCGCTGCCTTCTTTTAGTAAATCATTTGCAAATCGTATGGCTTCTTCCGCGTCATGGAAATGTTTCTGTAACTCACTGCGATGTATATCCACAGTATTAAGTTTTTCCTGACGCGCTTGTCGTAATTGTTTAAATAACTGTTCTCGATGCTCTTCCACAGCTCTTATATAATTAGCTGTAAATCGTTCGATTTCATTTTCGATTTGGTTACATTGTGACTCAATGCGTTCAGCGGTAGTTTGCAAACGTGAATTTGCTACCATTGATTTATCAGCGATTGATTTCGCTCGGTTTACGGCGATTCTTATGTTTGTTGTTTGAGTTTTCGCTGCTTTACTTGGTGATTCGAGGGTGTGACTACGGTGGGCGGAGTTTACACAGTCTGCACATACAACCTATGAATTTATAAACATATTTAGCATGTTTTCAACACTCCCTGTGTGTAAATCATATGTGTAGAAGGTGTAAAATACATGTGCCTCAAATATTTTTACACAATTTGAAAGCTTATAGACCGCCTATACTTAAATTTTCAACTCAAATGACACGTCGCACGTGTGTCACGTCTGCTTTAGCGCCTGGCACACGTGTTTATGATAAACGGAGACTTCCGTGCGCTGTTATGGTCTATTAAGCTCGCCATTAATAGGTGTGAGTAAATATTCCCTCTAAATCTAAAATTTTCGGTTTTGCCAAAGCTCACAGCACATTCGTGAACTATTTATGTGAAAGCAGGATGTTTATGAGTGTCAAATGTTTGTTTAAGTTACACTCCATCTTAAAATCTTCAATTTTTTGAATTTTTAACTTTACCTGTGAGCAAGTCGCGCAGAAAGTTGTTAATTCATTCTCGGGATGTTTTTGGCACATCACCTGCCGGCGTACTTTACTAATCCCACGTCGTCGTGCTTCGTCAAGTTCTAAAATCTCGTGATTCCATCCGGCTTTTTGTTTGCTGTGTGCGTCTGCGCACTGGCGACACAAACTCAACGCGCATTGTGTGCATCGGGTCTTTGCCTTCAATCAGTAATTAAATATAAATATTAACATGTTTAAATGTTGTAAATTTTAAGGTTAGATAACCAAACTTACATTAACTTCTAAAGGACATGCATCGCATAATAACTTAGTGCTGGGTGAATTTAACGTGGCTAAAACCATGCGATGTAAGATAAGATAATTGATTGGGAATCCTTGCACCCCGTCGTCGGGTACATCCGCCCTTGTTCGGCATAATGGACAAGGAATATATTGCACACTGTCGGCGTACATATCAATGCTTTCCAACTTCTCGCTGACGTAACCAGAGCCCGAGCTCGCTGCAAATAAATCCCAATCGACATTTAGCAACTTCGAGGGCTTCCCGGGCAGCTCGTGTGCGATTTACAGGATTAAAACCGCATTTAATTTGATTTACTGTCTATGGCACATTACCAAGGTTAAGAAAATATGATATTCCGGTTTAAAATCATAGTTTAAAATTATTGATTTGGTATTAACTTACAGTCGCATTCGGATGGTGAACTCGTTACTAAATTCTGCAGACAATTCGTACAGAATGTGTGCAGACATGGCAGGACTCGGGGTTCTATAAAGTGTTTTTCACATTGTGGACATTTTAATTTATCGATGTCTAAAGATGCGTTTGTTTCACTTTTGGCTGGGTTTGATTTAGATCGATCATGCGCAATCGTCAACGACGGTTTGGATGATTCCACAGATCGACGTTTCGATGCATTGAAGTCTTGATTTTGTTTTCGGCGTGAAAACGAACCGAAAATGTATGAAAACTGTTCAATTTCCATCATCTAATATAAAATAATATAATTATTTGGTTGCATATATGCTAAATTGAGGTTAAAATGTTTTATGGTTTTCTACCATTTGATCTATAAATATTTAAAACGTTTAAGTTAAAATAAACTTAGTAGTAATAAAATAGCGGTGTCATAAATTTCGTATAAAACAACAAAATACATCATCAAATTCTCAACTACTGGTCTAGAAATAACCTGCAATATGGCGGCGCCGTTGCATAAATAAAACAAGATCAACTCGAATTTGTCACCCAGTGTTTCGGATTCAATATAAATCAGGTCAAGTGTACGAGTTTGTTAGATTTGAGCGCGCCGCGGACGCGCGACTAATTAAAATCGAAATAACAGTGTCGCTGTCTATGGTTTGTCGATGAAATTGATGATGACACGAAAAATGCAAGATAGGCATTAATTCCAACGTGAAAGTCGCTCGCGGAATGCTCGCGACGACCGCAAACAACACGGTAGCGAATCGGCATGCAAATTTGTTACCTACACTCGTAGCTATCAGAGTCTTGTGACCGGAAATCGTTTTATCAAACGATATCGGGTATCAATTAAAATCATATAATTTCTATACTTAAAAATATTACTTACTGTATTAGATATACTGCTATTAAATTGCTTTTAATTGATTTTATTTTGTTTCACTTGCGAAACACTGCGATTACTCAATGAGTTATTACTTTTTTTTTGTTTATTATGAAGTTTGATCTTTACACACCTCCAAAAATAAATGTTCACTACGCGTTTGTTTCGCAATTAAAAAATATTATATTATGAGTTTCGCAGCGGCGCGTGCGGGCGCGTTAAAAATAAACCAGCGTCGCGACGCGTCGTGTCGGCGATGCGGACGGAAGCGGACTAAAACTTCATCGAGCTTCAGCCAACACTTACATGGATCTCCGTCCACACATGTGGCAAAGAAGTATTTGCGTATTGCAATACGTTTAAATATGTACACGTAAATGACTATTATATGAGCGTATAGACGTGTAATGAGTGAGGAAAACAGTTAGGTGTTTAAATACAAGACGCGAGTGATTTTATCACTTCCGATTAACATTTTAATTGCGTTATTGCGATTGATGAATGTAGAATCTTGTACAGCTTCTGCTAGAATGTAAAATTGCATGATATTGATTGTGTATTTTTGAGGAAATAAAATTTTGTTGATTTTTATTGCCAAGCATAAGTAAAAAATGAAGGTATGCAATCAAATATACAGGAGGTTGGTATCCGTTGCTAACATTCATAACATGTTAATAAAACAGACCTAACCTTCTGACGGGCAACATATATTTGAAAATCTAAATTTCTCTGTACTGTCACTCGGTACATATATGCAATCACTGATAATATGCCTCAAGAGTTACATGTTGTATGTTGCTGCAGCTGCACAACATTTCAGGTAAGATTAATAACAGTAGTTTTATGTTTCTCTTCAACAATATCTTAACTTGTTTTCATGAATAGAGTGATATTATAAAGAAAGTTCCAAAGTGGACATGTAAAATGTGCAATGAGAAGCAAAGTTTGCAAAAAGTAAGTTATTTTCTAATATAGATTTAGTATTTTGATTGTAATAATAATATTATAGGTTTATTTCATTGGAAGTGGTAAAGAGTGTAGAAAAGTCACTCAGGAACTAAACATGAGAAAATTTGTACACAAAAATCTCCAACCTTCAACAGAAATAAAACAAGAATCAAATGAATTAGATGTAGATTGTCAAATTGAAGTCCCATTAACAGAAAGTGAAGTTTTAGAACCAAGTAAATGGAATCAGGTGTTAGAAATGTATAAAGAAGTTGAAGACGATGTTAATTGTAAATTATTTGAACCAAAAGTTGAATTAAGTGAAGCTACTTGCCTCCAGAGGTCATAGAATTAAAAAATAATATTTTCGAAGACAATAACGAAGATATTTCGCATTTACTAGATTTATAACTACATTAATGTATTTTTATTATCGCAGCAACAATATTCTTTTGTTTTTTAATTCAAGCGGAGTAAAATAAGTTTGATTCTTTTACAAAATTAATGCTATAATTCTATGCGACCTTCTAAATTTAAATCTCCCCACCCTCACGCCATAGAAATGCGTCAAACGCAAACGTTGTAAATAAACATAACCTGATTTTCTAAGAGATTGATAAAAACGATGTAATTTTCTAATTGATGCTAAAATGGATCACATATCAACGATGTTCAACGGCGTGGAGGATAAAACGCCGAACGGTAGGTCGATCAATGCGATCGCGTAGCATCCACACTCAAAAAACGATTCACAATTGTTTCCAGACACATACCCCATTTGTGGAATCTGTGGTGAGCCACATGAAGCGTCCGACTGTGATATCGTTAGTTTAAAGGCGACAATAAGCGACACGCCAGTATTATCTAAAGCGCGTCAGTCGCTCCCTGCTAGCCTGCAGCTGGTTTCCATGGCAGATGGAAGCCATTCCATCATCACCAGTGATTTAATCTCAAAAGGCACCAGGTTTGGCCCCTATGAGGCCAAAGAGCAATTCTCCATTTCACCCTCGGTGGTGATGCCATTGAAAGTGTTCAAAAACGGCGACGACGCCGACGACAACTACTTCAAGGAGTATTATTTGAACACAACCAATGAGTATGAGTGCAACTGGATGTTCTTTGTTAGCAGGGCAAGTTGCTTGAGTGAGCAGAACTTGCTCTGTTTTCAGGATGCAGGACAAATTTTTTATATCTCTATGAAAGATATAGCTCCTAGAGAGCATTTGAGGGTGTGGTATGCACCTTATTATGGTAAATTGATGAAGATGGGCTCATTTATGGAAGCTCTAGAGGAGCCAGTGGAAAATCTACCTGTCAATCCTGTTGAATTGAGTGCTTTGATGAAAAAGCAGCAGAATATCAGGGATAGGAAGACCTGGATTTGTAAATTTTGTGGCATACATGAGGAGAATATTCCTACTTTTGCTCTGCACATTAGTGAACATTACACTGCAAAGTTGCGGAAGTGTTGTGAACTTTGTGATGCCAAATTTCAAACAACAAAGGTAAATTTTCAATTTGCTTTAACTTTACTAAATATTTAAGACTTAATGTTTACAGGCTTTAAACAAGCACATATTTCTCCAACACAACGACTCTTTCAATCACGCGAAACTCTCACTTGACCCAACTAGCAAGCAATCAACGCACACTAATCACGAGAGCAGCCAACTGGACCCGCTGCTCAATGATGTGCCCGGCGACAATGTCCTCCTTGAACATCTCAACTTCCAGGATGGTACTAGCATGCCAAACGACACGCTTCATCTAAACGTTGAAAATATCCTCAATGAGGATGAGAACTTCAACTTTGAAATGCCGAAAGACATCGACCCAGAAAAGTTTGTATGCGATATTTGTCTTAAAGAGTTCGCTAAGCTCAAGTTGCTCATTGTGCATCTCAATGCACACACGGGTAAATTCACGTGCCAGCGTTGCATGCGCGTGTTCACGCGTAAAGAGAACTTTGTTGCGCACAAGTGCTTAAACAATACGTCGACGACGGAGAATCAATGCACCGTTTGCCATAAGATGTTCACGCTGAACAAGTACCTAAAGCGGCACATGAGCCGTGCTCATGGCCCGAATTTGCGCTGCACGAGTGAATGCAAGAAATTATTTGGTTCGAAAGAAGCGCTTGATTCGCACACGTGTAGTGAGATTGTCGCAAAGTCTGCGGCTGCGCCACAACAATCCTATACGTGTCACTTGTGTTCGAAAATTTTCGGCAATCAGCGGAATCTAACGCGACATTTGAAAACGCACGAGAAGAATAATTCGGCGTCGCCATCGCATATCTGCGAGATGTGTTCGAAGCAGTTTAGTAATATGAAAGCATTGCGTCAACATTTAAACACACATAAAGAGCCGGAGTTTGTGTGCATGCTCTGCGAGAAGAGTTTTCAACGAAAAGCTAACTTTTTGGAGCATATGGAGTTGCATAAGAACGATGTAAGTATTAATAGACTAAAATTTAGGTAATGTTGTATTTATTTTTGTTGATTTTAATCTTCTAGTCTCCACATTTATGTCATATCTGCGACGCGAAGTTCACGCAAAAGAAATTCCTTACCCAACATCTCCTTTCACACACAGACGAGTTGACATATACGTGCAATGAATGTCCGCAGCGTTTTCGACAGAAGTCGAATCTAACCAAGCACATCGCTACGAGCCACGTGCGTGAATGTCGCGAATGCGGACTTACATTTGCTACGTCGGACGAGTGTCGTTCACACGCCAACACTTCGCACTCGGGGCGTTATGAGTGCCCGGTGTGTAAAATCCGCGTGAAGTTGCGTAGCTCGTTGAAGCGGCATGTCAAACAGAAACACACACCTGATGAATACGACGCGACCAACTTTGATGAGTATATAAACGAAATCGATAAGAAGTACAAAGAAGCCGCCATTGCGAACGTCGCCAACCCATCAGTTGAACCAATTCAAGGGACAAAACCTAGCCCAAAAAAGAAAAAAGTGAAGCTATCACTGAAAAAGAAGAAAAAGGTCGAAGTGCTCTCGGATGTGGTTGTAGCATCATCGCAGATAGTTAGTGATGGTGCTAGTACAAGTAGTACAAGTTTAGTTCAAGTACAAAACGACGAGAAAATGGCGGAAGGGAGTCAGGAGGAAGCAGAGATGCTTAACCTGTTGCAAGCAGACAATGCTGAAGTCATGCGCGACATGGCGAGCAGTTTACAGCTGGACGAAATTGTGAATGTCCTCGGCGGCGCACCTAAACCTGTAGGTGGTCAGGTCGCAGTGAATTCGTTAGATTACGGGCACATAGCAATGGAGTTTGAGAATAATTTTGTTAGTAAGGCTGGAGAGATTGGCATGACTCATACCTTTGACGGTGAATCGGTGTGTTTGTCAATGCCGGAGTTAAACGAACACGGACAACCGATTTCAATAGGTAAGCAATATATTCAGCCATTTTGAATTTTTAAGGTTTCAAAATGGCGAACTTATTTTGTTTGTGTTATAATTACAGGTGGTGAAAATATTCAATCGTCATTCATCTTGGAAAACGCATCGATAAATGGACCTGTGGAACAAGTCGTGTTATACATTTTAGATCAGAAGCCCAGTTAGTGAAAACAGCCGCTTCTTGAGATCTTGAGGTAAATCCTTTTCTTGTGTATATACGAGGTTGTTATGCAATTCCAAAATTGATGTGATACTTGTTAGTTATCAAGAAATTGCGTTCATTTCCTATTTTATATTATATATATATATAAATATTTTAGTGTACATAGAGTAAACGGATGAATAAATGTATTTTATTTAGATATATCTAAAGTGGCGGCCATCTTGGATGTTGCCTGTGCGCGTGGAGTTTATTTCATTAGCGGGCACTGGTTGTGGTGCTTGCCGACGGTGACGAGCTGTGGCTGGTAGTCATCCTTGCATTTTTCAGCATAGCAGCTGTCGCTGCGGTCATTTCCAGCGATACGATACTTCACCAGCTGCTGGTAGACTTGCTTCATGCGCTGAATGTTGATACGGCTGGCTACCGAATGGTTTACCATCGGTAGTGGGTAATCTTTACCAATAATGCATTTTGTAGCGCGTTGAACGCTTTCTGGAGCTGTCCATGGCTCGTGGATGTATTGAATGGGCATGTTTTTTAATACTGGCAGGTATTTTCTAGATAAGTTTACGGATTATTAGTAATATGTATCATTAGTTGCCTATAGTCAATAGCCGTGTGGTTGTTTATACCTGATATAATCCCCATTCGGATCGGCTTTCCTTCCAAACTTGACCGGACAGTAACAATGAAAAAACTGCTGAAAGAAACTTGAACACGACAGCCACATCCACATACCCGCGTTGACGGACCAATCAGCGTCGAGCAGCAACTCTTCAAACACCTGTAAGTGATATCAACAAAGCGTAAATTCAACACATCAGTTCCTCTTACGCCTCTAACATCACTTGAGACCTTCATGCCTTCCTCCCAGGATATCCACAAGTCGCCCCTGGTGAGAAAGCAAGCAACTGCGTGTCTGGCAAGATGATGGATCCATCCTTCTTCTCGCAGCTGTGTCATGATGGCGTCTATCCAAGGAAATCCAGTTTGACCCTAAATGTAAGTGATATCACTATTATTTCCTGTAAATTATTAAGAATTAGGTTTAGTATATTTACATTAGCCCATTTTGCAAGCGCTTCAGCATTTTTATCCCATGGAATTTGAACGCAGATAGGATTTCCTATCATTTTATCAAAATTCGGGTTTTTTGTTGCTGCGCAGTAGAAAAACTCTCTCCAAAGGAGTTGTCCATGTAGGGACAAAGGTGGAAATGCTTTCTTTATCTTTTTGTATAAATCAGTCAACTGGTAGTAGAATAATCTAGTAGATAGACATCCAAATCTTAAATATGGTGATAATCCTGTTTGGGAAGGTAGTAGACTTTGTGGGGTCATCTTAGGTCTACCAAATGATGCAACCCATGCTTTGCGTTCGAGATGACGCTCTAATCTTCCTAAAGCTTCACTTTCACCACCTTGCCATACAGGTGGCACTAAACCTTCAGTATCAAAACCCAATTCTTCTAGTGTAGGCACTCCATATTTATCGTCATGGTCCTCGGTTAAAGGTGTGTGCGCTCCGTTAAGGGTTTTAATTGTAACGGGTTGCTCTGCTTGTGGAGGTGGGTGCATACACGCAATTGCAGCAAGAAATTGATGATAAGTTAGTGGGGCCCGTCCAGAATTACGGTCAATAATATGTTGCAAGTGGTAAAGGGTATGCGACACTCTTTGGATCACCGTAATACCCAACTCATTACATAATGTCGTGATGTTGTGGTCGCGCACGCGACCAAAGGGTTCAGGGTCCTCTTCGAAGGTCAACGCGGTGGTTCCCCATTCTTTGAATAATTTCGGGAGTGCATCGGCGGGTTGCCCACGTACCACGAATAGACGAGAGTTTAGTTTTCGTAGAGATTTATCAAGGTCCTCCAAGCATTGCAGGAGAAATCTAGAAAATAAATTTATTTTGAGTATTTGGTACGTAAAAAATAATTCAAAATGGCGTCTCACCGCCATTTGTTAATCCCAACATTTGACGAACCAGCAAACCATGGGTCTAGAATAAACACGCATCGAAATGTTTTGGCCCCTTTGAGACCCTCACGCAGTGACGGGTTGTCGTGCAGACGTAGACCCTTTCGAAACCAGTGCACCATGTGTTTTTCGGGAGGTGCCTCCCGACCGCCCCCCAATTGGCAGTTCATGTACCGCACCAGTCAGACGAATGCATAATGCCAAAAATCACTTTTGTTATGATTTTAATATGAAATCAAACCGAACCCGCTGGAAAATTTGCTACGTACAGCTCAAGACCGAATCTCGATTTGCTAGAATAAAGCGGATGTGGTTAATGATTAACAGCGTTGGCGGCAATGCACGTCCGTGCCAACGTGACCGCCGAGTTCTTCGGGAGGCACCGATTGGTGGGGCGGCGCGCCGTCACGTTGCCGCCGGCGTGCGCGGCCATTGAAAGCGCCGCCGCCGCCGCAAACGGGGGAGAAAACGTGCGCGCTAAATGTCAAACGCATACAGCTTCAGGTATTTAGTGAATAAACAGACTGAAAAGCTAACAACAAGAGTGCTTTTGTGTGTTTACGTCAACTATAATAATTGGCGTTAGGAATCCTCAACTAATCCGTTGAATTGTTGTCATGGAAGTGTAGAGAAGAGAGTTTCACATCAAGGAAACTTTTATCTTACTTATAATCATTATTTAAATATTGATGGTGGAGATTAATAACTTCCGGCGGTGTAGCGACTAATTTAAAAACATTAGATGCAAAAATCTTCACTTGTTTTCACTTGGATGTGAAGAATTAACAAGTATAACCTACAAAAGCTAAGATTTTATAGTTTTACTCACTTTACTGTACTTACGTTGAGATTTGTCGTGATTAAAATTGTTTTAATGAAATAATTGTGTTGATAAACGTGGTAGTAAAGTGTTTAGTGACGCTAATTTAAAAGATAACCTCACTTTTAACATCTACCAATACAATATAACCAAACAATTTAATTTCTTTTGTTTTTCAGTAGTAATTAATTTTGTCTTTGGGACAAATACAAAATTAACAAAAAGTAATAATTAAATGATTATTATTTTTAATTGATTGCGAAAGTTATTAACCTTAATTTACACCATAACCTAAAATTACATTTGCATTGTATGTGCATGATTATTTCCTTTTTTCTTTTTCATATTTGTTTGTTTCACAATTAGTTATTGTAAATTCGCTACATACTTAACATTTTCATGACATGATGACACAGAAAGTCATCTTGTTCTGCATCTCACACAATTAGTGATTAATTAAAGATGCGGCGTCCTTGAAATGTTTTTTTTTCTTTTGTCGGCGTAAACAATACTATATCTTATATTGTATTGCATTGAAACAGAACAGCGCAAGGAGAAAATTATTACTAATTGTAATCAACAATCGCGAATCTACAATAGGATGCGTTGTTGAAGGTTTTGCAAAATTCAGATTCAAGTTTTAAAAAAATATAACGCTGTACTCGTATACTTATTAAAAGAAACATTGTAGTTCAGTGCTACTTATTTCTTTATTGGATCTTTGTGTGTGTGTGCTACTTGAATTTTATGCATCATTGTTTAATTGTTTAACTTCATTGAAACTTTTGCGAACGCGGTAATTAACTTGTTAATTGTTGTAAAATTCTAGGCAATATGGAATGATTTGCATATTTTTAACAAAAAATTGCTACGTGTAGGAAATTTGGTCTTAATTTTTATGGTGTACGAGTAGAGTAAAACAATTGCATATTAGGCACGCGCCATTTTGAAATTCAGGTTAATTTCTTAATGTAATTAAAAATTAAAGCAAAAATAATTGAAGTAGTAGAACTGGAAGAAAAAGAAGAAGCACGTCAATCACTGAAGTATATTTATGTACATATTGTACATAGTAAACAAAGATTTGCATGTTGTAACGCTACGTTATATAAACATGGATTACCGCTCTGATTTTTACTTTGCGTGCTCTTTGCCCTTGCATTTCTTGCTTTATTCCATGTAGGTATTTAATACTTGGATCAATGTGCATCCATAGGAAGTTCTCTTTTGGTGTGCTAACTTTAATATTAAAATAAGATTTCTTAGTAATTTAATTTGAGTTATTGAACTCAATAAAATATGAATGTCAATGATCTTAGTAATAAATGCGTTTTTATAGCTTTAATTAACAGTGGATATTGAAGTTTGTTTTGTTTCTTAGTTGGGTTAATAGTTTTGATAATGAGGTAATAAACAAACAATGGTTTACATACAATTATACTATTTAGCAAACTCGAAATGTAAAACATTGTTATGTTGATTCTCACGTTTTTATGCGAATGTCAGCGAACGCTAAGATGCAAAATGGCTAACATTCATTGTAACTTCCTGTAGTTGTAATGTTAGGTATTTTGATTTGATTTACAATAGTTTCGAGGAGCGGGCAATAGGGCACAGATGTGAATGACATTTCTCTTATGTGACCGATTCAATCATGTCTGATGAACGAGTAGAAAGGAACCTAGTGATGTGGACTACTGAAAGACTCAGGCACGACTGAGCCCTGTGCTTTCTACGGGCTACAATTTTTATACCTGAGCCCGATCCGCAAAAAGGGGTGGGGGAAGGCACGCGCTGACAGTGCAGGCAGCGGTACCGGTTGGTAGAAGGGTGTAGGGGATAGTTAGGGTTATCCTTGGTGACGCACCTTCCCCCACTCCCCATTACTGGTTAGGCATAGTTATAAAGAGGCTACTGGCAGTCATTAAAGTTCTTAGTTCTCTCTGAGTGGCGATGCAGTGCAGTAGCAGGTTTTCCGGTTTCTCTCTCTTCATTATTGGTTTTAGTTCTATCGCACTACTTCGTATCCCACTCTCATTACATTAACAAATTGCTTTACAAATTATGTTATTGATTATTTTATTAAGTTACGATGCAATTTGTATTGCACAAAACACCTTTGTTGTTATAATTCATTCCATAGTTCTTAACAGTATCTGAAACCTACGCGTGACAAAACCTAGTGAATAATTTATGAATGGGTGGCAGTAGTAGCTTTTCATGAACTACTGCCCAACTGTTTATGCATGAGGAGCATATTTACGTAGAGTTGCATTCAATTTAACCATCACGACATGTTTGTACTTCTACAAAGGGCTAGCAGTAGACTGTCCACGTCAGCCCACGTATTTATACTCATGACAAGCGAGGGTTACTTTATTGCACGGTTCGTATCGTATCGTATGTTTACAAGTAGTTCACCAGTTGGAAATGAATGAGTAAGTAAATTCCATGTAGATTGCATGTGCATCAATTGTTCACAACCTAGACGATAATCACTAAATAATCGTCACATGTATCAACCTAATACTGAGTGTACAAGTATTATTAATAATAAAATGACGAAAATATTTGAGTAATAAAGTATTATTTATGCTTATATCGGGAATCTCTATTAGTATCATTGACTATCATTCTCTTGTTATATACATTGATTCAATTTTTACTCACAAGAGGGCGATAGTGATATTGAATTAAAATTTCGGTTGTGTCGATTTTTATCACTGCGCGATAAGATTTCAAATTTAGCTTTGAAATATGCAGAGATTGAACACATTTTCGATTGTTATTTTATTTAAACACTTCAAAATATTATTTTATCACTCTGTATTTCCATTATATAAAGTATTAGTGATATTCTCCCGTATCAAGTCATTTTTTAGGTGAAAAGTGAATACTTTTGGAACCCTTGCTGTTAGCATGCTGACACTTTCGTGTTAGAGGGTAAACGAATTCGTCCCCTACTAAAAAATATAACAAGTAACTAGGGTGAAATAGTAAGGAAAGTAATTCCGATAAATGCCATAAAAACCAAACAGATATATAGAGATAGATATTGATAAACATACATATTCAAAATTATTTAAATTATATCCCAGCAATAACCATATGTCATCTTAAACTATTTTCGAAAGTTTTCTCATCAATTTGTCACCTGCACACTGAATTCAAATTTTGTATTCCCATAATTTTAAAATTAGAAAAGATCTGATTTATAAACAAACATAAATAATTCGCATTCCGTCTGTTAGTGTCAATACATTTATTATTTATGTTTTGTATTCAATTCTCTCCTTTGCTTTGTCTGCTGGTATAGTTTTCACCTGTTCTACTCACAAGTAAGTCTGTTTAGCATGTATATGTGTGTATGTGTTAGTTGGGTGGTGTTAGTGTGACTACACGCCACCTGAACACCGTGCAGGTGTAGTCAGTCATCGGGACGAATCGCGCGTTGTTCTTCGTCATTTCTACGGCAACCATCAAACACTACAAGTGCGCCGCGACGCGACGTCTGCTTCTTCGGCTTGGGCGAAACGTCGATTACCACCGTACGACAACGACCAAACGCGTGCCGGCAACCAGACGCAAGCAACGAGCGCGAGTAACGTTAAAAACCTTAAAAACGTTAAAAAAATTCACGCGTGGTTGACAAACAACGCAATTTTTGACATTTTACCAACCTTACTTAAATTTACTACGCATACGGGCTTTAAACTTCCATAAAATATAAGAAATAATAAATATTTTATTGTGATTATTGCAAAAATTAAAATATTGTGTAATTGTCGTGACAGTTTAAAGTTATTATTACCAAACAATCAGTGAGTGAACGAGCGGAGTATAAGTGTGATGAGTTGTTGCCGTTGTTGCTGTTTGTCATAGAAATACAAGTAAATAAATTGCACTTCGAGGAATCTACGATTGTTGTTATTATCGGTGGAAGCAGTACTCGCGCTGTGTGGAAATCTTTAAGGAATACTTGAAATAATGACTTCCAACTAAAGGTACGTTTGTGTGTTTACATTGGTAGTAATTATTACATGAAGGTTCAAAGGCTTTATGCAGACGAAATTATTTCTACATGTAGAAATCGTGTTTAATTCCATTGAATTTTCAGTGCAGAATTATGCAGATTGTAATTATATAGTTATTGATTAATTACCCGAAAACTATTTGCGATAAAATTATAATTCTTTCAGGAGAATATTCCTAATTAAATTCTACGTCAGTTTTGATATAGATTTTGTTGAGTGGAATATTGTATAAAAAGTTATAAACAATTAAAGTTGAAATTTGAAAAAGAGTTGTTTTGGTATAAAATGCTCTGTAACTTTTGATAAATTATAGTTATCAATAATATTTTTTCATAGATTGATTCAGAAATTAATACTCTATAGTTTCTTGAAGAAATAATTAATATAAATTAATTAGTTTCTGAGTTATTAAAAAATAACTTATTTTTTACCAAGCGAGGTTTTTTTCATATATTATGTGAATTTTATATTATTGTGTACACCCTGTATTAAATCATACAGTTTTCTTTTAATGATTATTTAATTTTTTATAGTTTTATTGAATGCAATAAAATTTTCTCTTTTATTGTCGGCCGAATCAAAGAAAAGAAAAGATTCTACAAGTGCATGACTGCTACCAACTAATTTCTTCTTTTCTATTCTCATTTACACATTCAGCATTAGATAATAAACTGCTAAATCCAAAGAGAAATCAACATAAATCAAATTCAGCATTTTTTTGGTTTTTTTAATCCGTGTTTTACTAACAAAAGTTCGATATCAATTAGAAAATTAGATTCACAAACAGTAATCAACAGACATTACTCTTCCGGATATTCCTCCGATCAGTCTTCCGTGCGAGTGAACTTTTTCTCGGATTGCTGGACATCCAACGTGAATCGTAGATAACTAGAATTAAATATTCTCGCCGTTGCGGTAATGCCATGCAGTTTCGATACAATCGAGCTGTTCTGGTTGTAATTAAAGCGAAATACTCTACCGAAGCACGCTGATTATCTTTCGCTTTGTTTCGACAGATAATTTCTGGAACAACAGAATATTTCGAATTTAACTCAATGATTTATAAGTTGATTGACTTCTTTGGCTCACAAATAGAGTGGTTTTAGTAGCGAGGTACGTTACTCTTAAATTTCGCAAGTAATAATTATTTTTCTACGAATTAACTGAAGAAGAAAGTCTTGTGATTGAATTTGTAGATTGTAAATTGTGTTTTGCCTTTAAATCTTCTTTTAAGTGCTTCAAATATTGAATATATGTCATTATTTGTGATTGTTGTTATTAAATCTTCATTAATTTTCTCATAGAATGTGTTTTAACCTGAAAATGTATTTGGTGTACAATTGGTTGCCTATAGCTCACAAGTTTTCATAATTTTTAGGTTATCTAGATTACTAAATACATTTTTAGTTTTTTTCTCTGGGCGCTTTGTTAAATTTTCAAGTAAACTTTAAATAAGGAGAAAACCAAAACGAAATAAATTAAACAGACACACAAATTAAGATTTGAGGTTATGACCACTTGTTTTCTTCTTGTTTGTTGGTGGTTTGCTGGAATCGAATCGTAAAATCGGCGAATCGACGCTGAGTCGGTAACGAAACGCGCGTGGATAATTGAAATTGCGCGAATAAATAAAATCCGCTCCAGTTACGACAGAGAGTGTGCTTTGCGTAGGAATTCTACGTCCGATGTGGATGTGCCGTACGCTCGTTATTTGCATTATTTTTGTTCCGTTGCGCGTTTTCGCATTTCACGTCTTGTATTTTTTCTTGCCATTGCACACTCGATAAATGTTTATCCATTCACAGTCGATGAATCCTCTCAATTGTGGAAATTACTAATACTGTTGTCATTGATGCATGAATTTGAATTTGTAAAACTTTTAAAAGCAGAATTTGCAAGTTGAAAACCTTGGAAATTTTGACGGTTTGCATCATAACTTCATTCTTTTTTATGTTTTTTGAGTAATAAAATCAATTGTTTGATTGTTTATTGATTGGCACAAAATGGTGTAATAATGTCTTTATTTTCTGCATAAAAACCTTGAATGTTTTAACTATTTTATGTTTTAACAATTGAAACTTTCTTTGTGTTTTGCATAAAATCATTTGGAGGTTAAATTTCGTAATCTTCTGCATTTTGTCTTCATTACTTTGTTTTATAGTCAGTTATTGTGAATGTTCTTGAATCTAATTGTAATTTAATCAATTCTTTTTTTTTTACTAATTCGTTATTAATTGCATATTTATGATATATTAAGATTTACCTATAGTTTATTTTAAGTTGAGGTTATGATGATGTCAAAATTATAAAAAATAACCATAAATAAAAGAAAATTGTATTGTTGTAATAATTGGTGTCACAAGTAGCAAATGATATTGCAGCAGAGAATTGCAGCCGGTTAAAAAGTGACACTGGAAACAAACGGCAATAAAACACAACTTTAAAGTGAAACAATAACAATGCCATCATTGCCATCTTTTCGTACTTATAGCAAAAATTAAAGACATCAAGACGTCAAAATGCGCACAGTAATATACGATTCGTGTTCTGCAAAAATGCAGCACAAAAGTTTACAGAAAAAAAAAAGAAACAAATGGCAGGAAACCGTCGTACGAAATACTACAATGCAATTTGTCATGTGACACAAGTGCGACATGTGAAATAGCAACACTTTTTACATTTTATACAAAGTGTTAACAAATATTCAAAGAAATTAATTTATTTTATTTTTTAAATATTTTAACACTCTGTATAATATTATTTTGTATTGTGTTGTGTTGTAGTTTTTACTAATCCAATTAAATTTGTTTATTTTTGTTGATATTCAATTTAATTCGATGGAATATCTCTCATATCTTTATTCCCATAACATAATCAAGATGTGTTCGTGAGTTGAACGAATGCCAATCAATTTATTACGACTGTATTATTGCGGCTTGTGGAAAGACACAGACACTCGATAATAATCATCATAACATAAGTATAATCATATCTTCACAATCGTGCAGCTATTTTCTAGTCTTTTGATTTAAATCTACAAGTAGCAACGTGTAATTTTTGTGTTTTTTGCATTCTTACATGATGTTCAAATTGTTTGCATCGTGTAATGACTTTTGTACTTACATCTTTCACTCTTTTCTTTTGTGGATAATAATATTAATCAAAATTATATGAAATTGTACACTTTGGATGAAAGTTTCACGACTTTTATTTGGTTATAAAGACTTTCGGCTTTAGTTTGGTTGTGAATTGATTTAATTTTGCATGTAAATATAAATAAATTGATTTTTAGAGAGTTTTAGGTAAGTAGGTATAAATAATTTAGTGTGAAAATGTTTAAGCAAGGCGTGTCGCCTTATTTTTTGCTACTCGTTGTACTCGTATGAGAGAAATCTGATTTTGAATCGGAATTTAAGAAACAGGTGCTGTTTTATTGAGGATTTGGGAAGTGAATGAAGTTGTGTTCCCACAGTTATAAACAACCTGTCTTTTAGCAACATTTTTGTAACAATCGGAAGTAGGAACTTTGATAAAACACGAAGTTATTTTTAATATTTTATACAAAAAATTAAATTTAAAATTTCGCATAATTTGCAGTGAAATTTCTACTTTTTATATGAATTCATGTTCACTTGTAATGCTTAATAATTAACTGGGTTATTTAATTAAACATTGACAATACTAATTAACCAAAAGTTGATACTTGTTTTTAGTTTTACGTTCTGTTTTTAAATGTTTAAATAAATTATATTTAAATATTTTTGTGTGTCACATGAAATATTATGCACTAAATGCTCAATTCGCAATTAATGTAGGTATTAATTGAAATTTTTCGTGATATTTTAATTTTGATTGTAGAATATGTAACATAAAAATCCAATAAATTAAAAACCAAACGGTACATTATGAGTTGATGATTGTGCAAGCATTCACCGTAAACAAAAATTAGCATTAACAACTACCAAGGAGTATCTGAGCGTAAAATTAAAGATTAGAGAAATTAAAGAATTTGTTTTGTCTGGCAAAAGTGGTCATTTTGGTCATTGCATTCTTTAAAATTGGGCAAAATAAAATCTCTAAACTACTCTAGTGTCTAATAAAAATAACACAAATTGTTACCAACTAGTTTATATTAGGTACTAGTAAATAACGTGTAAATTCTATGTTTTATGTTTTAATAAGAAAAGTTTTATAAATACCTATTAAATACCTGCTTAAAATAGCTTTTAAATAAAATACAGTTATGAGTTCATATAACTTTTAATTGTACAAAGTAAAAATCATAAGGTGTAACGAGCGATCGCTTGAGTAGTGTTATTCTGTTATTCCATGCAATATTTATAAGTTAAGTCATTTATTAGGTGCTACTTGCATGAATATTGTGCAAGTGGTACGCCCTGAACCCCTGACTAACATGGATAATTAATTCGTTTCACTATAACTGCGCTTCTTTTTTCAATAATTACAATTATTAACTATAATAATTTTAGCACAGTTTTCTGCGCATAAAATTTGAAAATTACAAAAAAAAACTGAGTACTTGTATCAACCTAATAAATGTAATAAATTTATTTCGAAAATATATGTTTTATTAACTTTTGTTTATTGTTTCAGATGTGTAGTGACAATGGATTATCGATACGTCTTCGTTTTATTGGCACTTGCGGCTCTTGACTTTCCAATAGTATTAAATCAAGGTAAGATAAAAAGAAAAATTATAAACTGTGGCAACTTTTACAAAAAATATATCTTTCTACATGATTTTCACTTTAGAATTGTTAAAAATGTAGAAATATATATCAAATTCTTTGTTGTTGTGTGTTGAAAGAAGAGTTAATTCATAGTCTTTCCGAATTTTTAAATTCTTATGTTACGTTCTGCTCAGAAGTTGCATACAGTCATCAAAACCCTTTTAAGTGAGGTTATGTTTATAATATCTTTATTTCTCATAATTTTAATACCAAAAAACAAGTTTTATTGGTAATAACGGCATACCGTGTTAAAATTTATAGTTTCTTATAAAGAAATCATTATTTATTGTGTCCACCTTACCAAATTTAAAATTGAACCATTAATTATTAAGTAAGTTATTACAAACGCGCATTATTCCAATTTAACATTATTATTACTGTTATTACTATCGGTCCACTTCTATTGTTATGTTATTTATTTCGGATATAACAAACAAAGTGCAAAGTGCGCAACGAAGTAGAAGTAGCAGCTACCTAATAAATTTAAAATTAGCAATTATTTATTATACATATTATTTCCTGGTCTTCACATTTTTGTTTAGCATTGTATTGTTTTTGGTGGTCGTGTGCAATTTTTAAAGTGCTCAAGCGCTCAAGTTGTGAATTAACAGCTTTACCGAGTGTTGTTACGCTGGTTATGCTTTCATTAACATGGAAGCGCACTTCCTTGTTACGAAATTAGAAAATTCAGCAAGGCGTAATCACAATGCACACTCAAATATTCAAATACTTCGAGTGCATTAATGCAGAATATTAAAATTCAAGTATTTTAATGTCTAGACAGAAAAATAAAAAAAATTATATTTTATTTTATAATTTTTATTATCATAACCTATAACACAGAATGTTTCTTAAGGCAGTTAATGCCTAAATAACAATTTTTCTTTCTTGTATGAACCTATAATTACCATTTTGTGAAACTAAACCCATGTCTATTGTATTCATTACCAAATACGAACACAAATAGGTAATCTTTCATCTTCTCGTTGCTTTTTATTCGCCTCTATTTCCATATCGGCCATTTTGTATGCAAATAGCATCCATTAATTCACTCAATCAATTCAAACGTTGTTTGTTGCTTTGTTTCTCGTATTTTTCGAGGTTTCGTTTTCGTTTTCATTCAAGTATTCACATATTCTTAGCGCATTGCATACTCATGCATATTTCTTAAGTGTATGTATATGTGTTTGTGGCTATATATCTGATTGCTACGGATTCACTTGCCGGAAAGGTGTGCAAGGGTGCGTAGTTCCTCGATTTCCTGCTCTGGCTGTGAAGCGACTGACACGAAACCACCAAAGCACTAAAGACAGACTCGTCTAACGAATGAGAGAATCGAAGAAGAAAGGACGCGAGAGAATAAGCGGGTCTTTCTCAGTGCAATTTGCTATGCACTGACCAATGCACCTGTAAAGTTTAACTAAACATCGTTAATGATGTTGAGTTTTGTGCATGGTGTGCATCGTGGGTAACATTTTCAACGGTTTTCAGAGTATTTATTCCCTTCTTCCTGTGTTACGTTAGAATACGATTCGTTTCGTAGACTTTCTCAAGTGATACAAGTCATTAAGTTGCAACTTAATTCACACTTGGTCGAGTATAATCTATAGGTATATAAAAAACAAGTTTGGGTTAGTTACAGCGTTTATAACTCAAGATCGGCGGAACAGATTTTGATTATCTATGATTTTTTGGATTTATCAAGACCCAAAATAGCAGAATAACTATTAAAATGTCAAAAATTGTGACTTAGAGGGTGTTAAATAAGGGATAAAAATTAGTATACCTATTTAGTCATATCTATAGTTAAATAATTGCATCCCAGATGGCGCTTAAATGCAATATTAGCCATTCTCATAGATTTAAAATACAATGTGACGTCACTAATAAATATTAACACCACTATTATCTAATTTTATGTTTTTAGATTTTATTTCTTGCAACTAGGCTATTAGTATAAGATCACTAACATACAAATCGATCAATTATGGTGTGCATGCATTTATCTTGTCTTCCGCTGCACTGCTTCCGTTTACAATAGCTGTCAAATGTTTGTCAAACGCATGACTACACCAAACGGAACTCCACACAATAACTAGAACGACTAGAATCATCCACTCCCATCCACTCCTTCAACTTGGAACTACTTATTGTAAATTAAACTCATATTTAGAATCATCAAACGAATAAATGTGGCGGAAAATGGCATGTTTTGATGAATTCGCGAGTCGATGCAATTACGATTCTGTTACGAATATTATCCATACGGTATACATAACCTCAATTTTGCTAAAACTTCAACAACCTTGCCAAATTAAAAATAAATTATTAAAATTCTTAATTTTACACCCGCATTGTGTTTTAATGCATATAAATATTTATAAATGAGGACAACGTATTATTTTTAAGTACTTAACATAATTATTTTTGACTTTATGTGTAAATTAAATTGTTATTTATTATTCATGTAGATAATAATGAGATTCAGTGAACTTGCATTCATCATTCGTCAACATTGAAAAATCTTCTCACGCTTATTGAAACTTTCCGAGACACTGTTTAAGAATGCGCGCTGAGTGAAAAAATAAGAGTAATTTTAATTCATTCGTCTGGCCAAGATCATTCAAGAGAATAAAATACACAATGAGAATGAACAACAAGGTCATACGCTTGATTCTGCCACTGAACTACTGAAACTTTTGTTTTTATTACAATAACCTTACATTTACGCCTAAATATAGGCAACTTATGTTACAAAACTTAACATAACCAAACTTTTTAATTCCAGCAATTCCTGATAATCGTTGTTATCTGGAAAACGGCGCTTCCTCGGAAAGTTTCTTCGTCTCCGAAGACAAACCCATTGGTTCCACAATCGGCCAACTTCGTATTCATGGCGATCCACGTACAGGTGGCACCATTGCCCTGCATATTCAAGAACCGGATAGTCCCGTAGCCATTTCACCAGGCACACGTAATCTCACCCTACGTCGACGTTTGGATAAAGAAGGCATAGATGGACCTTCTTCTGTATTTATCAACCTGATCTGTGAACGGTTGCATACTCTAGATCCTGGATTTGTTATTCCTGTAAATATTCGTGTAACAGATGCAAATGACAATGCCCCGGTGTTTATCAACGCACCATATATTTTAAACATCTCTGAAGTGACCGTGGTTGGTACCAGAGTTCTACAGGGTGTTCATGCAGTGGATGCAGATCAACAAGGACCTTTCAGTTCAGTGAGATACTCTGTATTACCAGGAGAACATTCAGATTACTTTGAATTTGAAAATGAATTAGAAGGAACTCTAGTATTGAAGAAACCATTAGATTTTGAAAGTTTAAGGAGTTTTGATGTGAATATCCGTGCACAGGATCATGGTGAACCTCCAAAAACATCTGATACTGTTTTGACTGTCCACGTCGTTGATGCAGATGATCAAAATCCGAAATTTCAAGATGAACGGTATACGAGTTACCTACCTGAGTTGCTTATCAAAGGAGCTAATTTACAGGTCAAACCTAGGGATATCCTGGCACTAGACCAGGATCTAGGTATTAATTCACCAGTTTATTACTCTTTTGGTGGATCTGGCGGAGATTACACTTTCTTTAAAATTAACAAAGTGACAGGGAGATTATCTTTGGGTAAAGATGTTTTGGAGAATGATTTGCTGCACCCTGCAACTTTGGTCATCAAAGCTACCCAACAGGATAATTCTGATAGATATGCACTGGCGACTTTGACAGTTTCCCGAAGGACATCAGTTGGTTTAAGGTTCCTAAAGCGGATTTACAATATACGTGCAAGCGAAGCATTGCCTCCAGGAGCAGTGTTGACTATTTTATCAAACAATAGACCTGGGGAACATCTCAGATATTTTGTAAGCGAACAAGGCTTACTAAAAGTGTTTAGTATCAATACCCGCGGAGAATTAGGTCTGAGAAAGAAATTAGATTATGAAGAAAGGTCCGAGTACACCTTTAAAGTATTTGCAACAGATGGCATTACTGTAAGTTTTTAGTTAAAATAGATTTTTGATTTTGAGGTTATTTTTATATATTTTGTGTGTTTAGAATGATTCTTCGGTTGTTAATATAACAGTAGAAGACGTCAATGAATGGGAACCGCGTTTCCGGTATCCGCACTACGAGTTTTTCGTCTCTGGCCAACCCAATGAAATTGTTGGCAGAGTTGAAGCTGCTGATGGTGATAAAGGTGACCATGTGCATCTCTCACTTACCGGAATAAATGCATCGCTATTTGTTATAAGTCACAATGGCGAATTGCTTTTGAAGGGAGATGGTAGACAAGGAAATGGCGCCATTGCTACTTTTGCGGTGGTAGCTACTGATTCAGGTGATCCTCCGAAAAGGGCGAGTGTTCCTGTAACGGTACATTTTCCTATGTTGGGAAAACAGGGAGCAGTGATTAAAACCAGCGGAGGATCTTCTTTAATTCTCGCTGGTTTGGGAGGAATTTTACTTGTTTTGGCGTTTGTTATTGCATTGCTAGTTGCATACATTATAAAAGCGTACGTAACTTCACAAAATTTCATAATTTCTTCATTCTATTTTGAATTTTTGATTGTTTAGGAGGAAAAGAAGAAGACATGGTGAATTACCAAGTCTCCAACCAGAAAAATCTCAGTCCACGTCACCACCAATGGTGGAAAAAGTGAGCAATCCAATGTTTGCGGGCGTGCGATCTATAAATGTACGTTCGCCAACCGCGGTAGCCATGGGAGGAATACCATCCTTATCTGGAGATCTAAAATCAAGGATGCCGAGTCCAAAAGTGCATCCGGCACCACAACCTCCTAACTGGCCTACGTCGGCTGGTTCACAACGAGTGAAAAAATTGAGTTGGGGAGACGATAAGGTACTATTACAATTAGAAAGCATTAATTAAGTAAGTTTTTCATTTTTCTTTGTATTTTAGACTGATTCTGATAGTGTAAACACAGACAACATGAATAACATCGACGTCTCTCCAAAGACAACTGATAATACGAATTTAACCGTGTATTTTTGATAAAAAGCGATATCTAAATATTTTTTAGCAACAAATGACAGGAAATTGATGTAATGTTTATTCCTTTGATCTTCAAAATCATAAGTTAACTAGTTTTAGTTAAATGATATTCTTTAAGTTAGTGCCTAATATTTTGTAAATTATTTTTCTCTATGATAAAACCATCTACATAATGTAATCATGTTGAATAAACATATTGTGCATCATAAGTCATAAAAGCGAAGAAAGGTAAAGTTGTTTGTGCATGCGTATTAGAGATATGCGCTCCTGGCGGTGGTGCAGTGGCGTGATATTCTGCGCGAATCAGGAGAGAGGGTAAGATAACCGCCAGTGTTTGGCTTAACGTGCATCCTGCAAATTAACCTCCAGTACATTATTACAATGCATCCACGTGCTACGTTTGTGTCCATTTTTCTCCTGTAACCTCCTGGTTATTGTCCTTAGTCACTTGTGGTAGTGTAAAGTAGTGTTTTTGTTCTTCAAATCCAAATATACCAGCATGTAAACATTGGTGAGAACTTTGTTTTTGTTTTTAACTTACAAGTTAAATCATCGCCATCGTAAAATTAATTTCAACATGAACGGAAACATACACATTTATGTAACGGAACTCGTCAATATGGTGGAATTAGTAATCATAAGTAGTGATATTTTCTAGGCAATTTGTCATGCACCATTCTAACTATTCGCGACGCTAAGGCTCAGGGTGACTCGGATTTGTACGAATAACAAACATAGATAAACAGAACATTCTTCTGATATTTTTCTTATTGTATATTGTAATCTTCAAGTGCAAACACGTTTGAATTTTGTTAACCAAATCATCTAGTAAAGTAAAGTGAGGTTAACTTTCATTGGGCAACGAACGAACAATGGCGCGTAGAACAAGTGAGGTTAGCAACAGAAATGATTTCGGTTGGTTTGCATCGTCTTGGACTGAAACAGCCTGCAAAACTGTAAGTAACCACTAAATTTATGCATGTTTTCAATAAATATGTGTCTAAGCGTTCTTCTAATAATAAACAACGGGGTTTGTTGATCCATTCAGTTAATTTCTATGATTTGATTCGCCATTTCATACCATATTTCACTTTTATAACCAAATTTCTCTTGATATATCGAATTAAATTCTTATTTCGGATGTTATGCAGGGAAATAATTATTTATCTATGTAATGAAAAATTGCCTTGAAGTCGCATTTTAATATATTTATTTTCTGTGTAAGTTTTGGTAAATGATAAACAATAAATATACAATATTTTCTGATTAAATAGAATATTCAATAGATAAAAACAAAAGAGCAAATAATATACTATAACTATCAATAGTATCAGACTATAGTTATGACATAAAGCTTATGAATCTACCTAATTAATACAAATCAAACTTAAAATCGCTATATGTCGGCCAAAATAACATTAAATACAACGCAAAACTTAATCAACCTAATCATAAACTACAATTTCATCAAACAGGCCGCACTTGAACCGAATCAATGCGAGAACATGGAAGAAAAATTATCACTTCCTAGAATATCCAATTGTTACACACATCGTTCATATTATATTAATTATTGTTTCGCATTTCTGTCTTCATTCATTTAAGAATTATGGTTTTCGGTTTATTATGTTCGCAATTCAGCTATTTATTTGTGTATTGTTATATAGTATTTGTTCCTTTTTCAACATGTACATGTTATGTATTTGCGTGTGGTGTGCTAGATTTTAGAGTTTCGTATCTTCTCGTTTCGTATTACAAACAATCCTTGGCGTTTTAATACAAAAAACATTTTATCATAACTTTCAATATAGATAGAAAACTATAGCTGATTCGTTCGCTTCATCTCGTATTTGTTTACATCCTTACATTTACGTTTTTGTAATTTATTCCTCCTGTTTAATAACCCTTATTGGCGGGGCATCATCTCGATGCAGCAATGTTAATCGTTAGAATACGCTAGTATTTATTAATTTCCGTACCTTCAATCCTCAACTTAACCACAAGCACTTCGGTATAACTTATTTTAATTGTTTATTTAGCTTAGGATCTCCCTTGTTCTCTCAATGTGACCGTGAACATTATCTCAATATTGATTGGATTATCTTAGAATTGATTATTTTCTATATCAAATTATTTTTGCTTTGTTTTATATAAATAACTTATGTGTCGGTGGGTAATACGGAAATTTTTCTAAACTAAACTAAATATGATTTAATGGAAACTTTAAACGATCGCTTGGAACCAAAGACGACATTATACACTAAACATTAATTAACGATTAAACTGCTACCATCTGAATGTTAAGCGCAAGTTTCTATAACATTACTGTCATCATCTGCACCTCAATCCGCTCATTTTTAATTGTATGGTTTCATTCGATTTTAGTTTTTAGAAAATACCATCCGCGCATCTTTGTCTTCATACAAATATAAAATATTATTGAAACACTCAGTATGAATATTATTTCTGGAATACACATCATCATATCTTTTTTTGGAGAATGCATTCCAGCATCACTAACTTTATTTTATCACTTGTGTGTATCGCAAACTCACGAGCAAAGTGATTTTACATAATACAGTTTTAGACGGCGTACGTGCTCTCTACATTATTGATTAATAATTTAATTGCGCAACCGACTACAATAATATTAATAGTGAATTGTAGCACGTTGATTAATGAATAGCGCAGAAAACACGTAATCACTTTGCTCATGCAGTGACATGGTAGTTACATAATTGCAATAGTTAGTTAACATTAATAATATTTTTATACCAGGCTATCTGTTTCTTGTAAACGTAGTGTTATTCTAGAACGGCGGAGTGCATGGTCTTAGTTCCAACTAATTTTCTTTTTATATCAACAAAACCGTATATATCGTGGACGACTCGCAGTATTTGGCCAGAACTCCGGCAACAGCTTAGCAACGTGTTACAGAATTCAATATCAATCATCTTACGACTACAGCGTTATGTTAATTTAATCAATATTCGTATCGACGTCTTACATGTGTACACCTTGTCACCAATAAGCTTTTTTGTTTCTTGGGATATCTCGGGCGTAGCGGCAGAGAAACAATACAGATAAAATACCTTAAATTCGTCAGGCGCACGCTTAAATAGTTTTTGAATAAATAATTTAATATAGTTGTGCAAACTATTGCATAAGAAACACATTAATTGTATGACAAAGTTAGCAACAAATATTTATAACGTACGTTTCTATTGTTTGTGTTCTGCGGTTTTCTTAAATCATTTCACTATAACTCCTCAATTAGCACTAGCGCTTCGCTTCCACGCTCCTCTTTATAATAATTATAATAATTATGTGTTATAATATGTAAAGTACATTAATGTATAGTTACTAATGTCCAGTTACAGGCCGCAATTCTTTGATCTGCCTAATCAGATATGCTTTTTCGTCGTTAAATTGTTCGTCGTCCGCTCGGTCCGTGTGGAACTTCATTAAGAACTCTACCAGTTTATCTTGATTACGTAATAAAATGTCTAATATTGGCTTCGGTTTGTTGGGATTCGCGACGAACACCTGTAACATTTTAAGTTCTCATTAGCACCAGCAAGTTGTTCATTAACATACGAATGTTATAAATTAAAGCAAACAAATGCGATTGAAACACAATATGGCCGGATTAAAGTTTATTGCGTTTTATCACTTTAAGTATTGATCGCGCGTCGCCTTACAAGCCACAATGAGAAATATGATGATTGGAGATAAGCGAATGCGATATAAACATTTAGTGCGTCGTTTACCTTGAATACATGGAAAGCTTCGAATTGAATATTCCGAGATCGCTCCTTTAGCATGTTCATCATCAGTTTCAAATTATCAGGATTAGAAATGTATTTTGTCATTACCTACGAAAAAAATCAAACAGTAGTTTACAATCTGATAGAGATTATTAATAATTTGTATTACTCACGGTAAAATTATGTCGGTCCAATAATAATTCCCCGAGCAATTTCAAGCTCTGGCGACGGGTGACATAGTTTTCCGAATTCAGCAGACGCTGATAATGTGTGAACACCTTATCGTAATTCGTTTCCAAGAAGTCCGCGCATAGCATTTTGTGTCGTGTTAATAATTCCTGCAAGAAACATTTGAAAATTACTAGAATTACGCTTGTTTCTTGGTAAAGATTTTTACCTTAAATGTTGAAAATGCATCGGATGCAATATCGAACGTGGAAACTTCAACATAAGTAAAGAAGTTGTAAAAGTCCTCAGAATGTAACATTATTTTGGCCAACGCTTCGTATCTGGCGCATTCTCGTAACATCGTGCCACAGTTTAATGCAATCTCCTGGTGTTCATAACTACAAATAAATTATTTCATTATTATGGTTGAAAAAATATGTAGGACATTGAAATATTGATGAAAAAATGGATGTATTACATACCCAGTCATCAGTGTGAATAAAATCTCAGGTTTGGTGCAAATGTACTCCACAGTCGGTGACCGCGTGCCTATTTGACGGCGTAATATGTTGTTAAAAACCTGTGCCACATCCTTCTTGCCCTCAAAGTCAATGCGATTTAAATTCTGGATGAGTAGCAACAGTAGATTACTATTGTACAGTTCTTGAGCAAGTTGTGCAACTATAATATCAGTCTGTGGCTCGGCGTCGGACGTCCCATACAGCATGTTCTTGATGAGCACCAGGTTCTTGCTGACATCCTCCTGGGCTTTTTCAGCCTTCTTGTCGCCCTTCTCCAACGAGTTGACCGATTCCTTCAGCGCCTTGACCACGTCCGCCGGACTCTTCTGCGATTTCCCGAATAGCGGCATATTTCTGGTGCAATATTTAATAATAACTGGATGAGAGGATTGCAACTGAGACTTTGATGTCAACTGTGTGACACAGTGTGTGTGTTGTGTGTGGAAAAAGTATCAGGCAAACTCAACTGCACTACGTTTACTTAAAACAAATTAACGTGTTAATACTCTGTGTAAGTGAGCGTCGCTTCTTATTACCGTAACATATCACAATCGACAATTAGTCTGTAATTTCTTCCTAAACAGATTATCTGCCATGAATACACTTGACAGCAATGCGTGCGATTGTGTGTAACCGTGTGACTATCAAATCGCAAACGAACTAATGTCATGTCAAAAACGTTCGTAAAGTTACACTGTCAAAATTAAACACTCGCGCATGTTCGGGTGCAATTCCGATCGTGAACATAATTTCAACTAAAGCACTTGTTCCTTTATCTTAATTGTCAATCTATTGCTACATAAAAAAACGTAATTTGGTATTTCATTTTTTAAAATAAATATATTATTTGATTATTGTCATACTAACTATATTTGTAACTTTATTTGTAGGTTTTGTAATTGGGAATCATAGGTGGCGCTGTGAAGCAATGTACGATGTACTAGCAGTGTGTTGCTAGCCTTAAGCATGACGTCACTTGCTGCGCGTTGCGGCCGTTACATTTCGTTGTCCGGCGTCTTGCAAACTCAAGGTTGAATTGTAGCGCGCCCAAATCCAACCTCGCTTTAATGCAACCTGAAGCGTTGTCGACGTTTTATTTCGTGTCTTGTTGAAGTTATAGTGTTAGAGTGATAATCGATCGGTCTCAACGGTAACAACGTAAGTAACATTTGCATGAATATCTTTTTCTTAGTTCAACATGATTGAAAATTATTTTTTAGATGGTTGATGTAAATTCACTCACTGATGATGAACTGAGGACAAAATTGGTGGAATATGGATTTCCAGTCATGCCTATAACTGGCACCACCAGAAATCTAATGGCTAAGAAGTTAAAACTTCTTATGGAGTCCAAGGGAAAAAGTTCATCAGAGAGAAGGTAAAAGTATTGCATCGTATTTTATAATATTGATTCATATTTTATTGTAATTCTTATAGATCATTGGGTAAATTCTCAAGTGATGAAGAGAGTGATTCAGGAGATGTAAAGATTTCAAAGAAAGATAAAAACAGGAGGATTACCATGGCTGTACCTCCAATGCAGCAATCGAAAGCTTCAATTATTGTAGATGAAGTAAAGGACATGGTGCCTCCAGCACCTGTTCAGAAAGAGAAGAAATCTGTCAGCAGAAAGTCTGCAAAAATTGTTGTTGACACCCCAGAAACCAACTCTGATTCAGAGCCTGAGTTTGTTGATGAATACAAGGAGAGCTATGAAACAGGTACAGAAATTTATTCACTTGAAACAAAAACTATTAAACATTTTTCACGTTTTTTTCTTCAAAATTGTTCCTTTTACTGAAACTAACAATGTTTTATTTCACTTGAAGAAGTGCCTTTGAAGAAAAAAGCATCTCCCATCAAGGAAAATCTACCTCCAATTCTCAAACCTCAAGAAATTCTTACTTCAAGAACTACAACATCTTCTTCATCGCGTTACACAACATATTCAAAACCAATTGATGTATCTGAAAAATTGGAGAATATTCGATCAAGGCTAAGTTTAGGCACTAGAAAGGATTACTTTACAGAAGCGGCTCAATCTCATGAAATTAATGATGAAGTTACTCCATTCCTCAGTAATTTTACACGCCGTCTTTCGCAAATGTCGCCGAGAAATGGATTGTCGGACGGAAATTATGAAGATACTAATTCCACACTGTATTCACGCAGTAACTATGCAAGCACAAGCAGGCCGAAAGCGCGCGAATTTTCAAAACCAGCTTATACTGGTCCCGCTGATAACGAGCCTAACAAAAGTTCAAATATTTCATTCATTTTAATCGCCGTTGTTGCCTTATTCTTTGTCGTGCTGGCTGCTTTGTATTACGGTATGCATAGTGGCTCCAACATTGGCGCAATAATGGGCAAAACAAGCAAATATGAACCTCAAGATTCTCTCTGAAGGTTAAGCAAATTTAGCATACGTTTTCTATGTTGAACTCTTGATATTGCGTGGATTTTTTATTGTAAGTTTGAAATATTGTATGCAGAGTTATGTTCAGAATACATTTTGGAAGCACTAGCATTAATTAACTTGTTGTTTACTATATTTTTTGTTGGAATAAGTTGTTGCACATATTTTTGCCAGTATTTCAAACGGAAAAGTGGTCAAGTTTGCTAATGTCTTGTTATTTTGAATTGTCAAACTTTGTACGTTCTTGTTAATTATTTTATCAATAGTTGAGATTTTCAAAGGGTAAGTTACAATTTGTTACAGATTCCTTGCGTTATTTGGCGGATGTGTTCGGCAGCGTTAACTAGTCAACTAGTGAATATTGAGAAAGGAAGAATTCTTTATTTGTATGGAATGAATTCGGTTGTCCTCAAGAGTTAGGAAGTGCCCTTAAATTGATCTCCAATTCCAGCAATGATGATCAGTGAAATAAATTTGGTCATTTTTCAAAAGTTGTGGTAGGAGACTCTGTATCTTGCGTTTCCCTGGCACGATTTTAATTTTGTTTTTCTTCAGATTATAGAAGAAGAGTTGGTTAATCGATTGAATCGTATTCTGAAATTCTCAAGTATCGGGTACTGCTTTCAAATCAATCTCCAATTTCATTATTTTTCTTAATATCCGAAAAATATGAGTTAAAAATGGGCCTTGTGTTTAATGATGTCTAGTTTGGATCCGTAGAAATTTCGCCGAGTGTGCTAGTAGTACCAACACTGGCGCTGCTATGCATTCATAGTTTAGATATATACGCGCCATGCTTGTATGTAAACAATTTTTTTTGTCGCGTTCAGCGAACGTATCGCGCAATACTGATAGTGACCTCGTGTTGTCGCCGTTGGCTGTTTGCAGTTCGGTGCACATGCAGTTCCATTTCTGCTGTCGTGTAAATCGCGCGTGTTCATTGCGACTAGTCCTGTTTCTTCAAATCATAATTAAATCAATTGTCTTATATTTGTTAAAAAAACGAACGCATTTACTATAATCGGGCGTGACTGGGGTTTTACAAGTGTGATGGCACGCCATCAATCGTGGATTTATTTTCGGTTTACCTTGGTGCGCGTGTGTACGTTAGCTATCGGTTATCTTTTCGCACATAAGAATGTGTTGTATTTATATTTAACTCGTGCAAGTAGGCAACGCTGGTGTCCAGGGACGAAGGTTCTGAGTGTCCAAACCATGGAACTTGCAATATCTAAAATGTTGGAGCTGCGCGTATTTTAAGGCAAGTCTGCTGCGGGATTTGATAACGTCGATGTATACTATTTAAAAAATGTACATAGGTATTGTTAAATGTTGTCAATAAAACACAATGTAAAATTATAATCTCATTCATATTTCTTCGTGGTATCCTCTTTGTCGTTTACAGTTTTAAATAATATGGCATATAAGTCTTATGTGTGAGCAGCGGGTATAAGACACCTAACTGTTGCTTAAATTGTGTTGTTGTTTTTAAAAACATGATAAAAGTAGAAACATAAATAGAAGAATCAAATATTAATGATAAAAACACTCGGTGGTCGAGTGGAGACGTGCACCTGCTGGCATGCTAGCAGACACGGATCAAGTCTCAGGTATAGAAGGCATTTTTCTCAAATATGAAAATATCAGGTGTAATTTGGGTTGCATATATGAATTGCAACGAAATATATGAGAAATTGAAATACAAGTGAAGGCAATATGAGAAATATGAAAGCAAGTTGGAGGAGCGGGAACAGAGAAATAGAAGTAGAACAAGGAGTAGCAGAGAAGAAGAGTAGAGACAGAAGGAAGAGAACAGAGTAGAGAAGAGGGAGGAGATAGAAGAAAGAGAGAATAGGGGTGACGGAATTTTTAAATTTTTTGGCACGTGTCGTTATAAGACAGTCTACCGTCGATCTCCCAGAGCGCCTCCGGCGCTCTGGTCGATCGCCCACTGCTTCGGTTCGTCCATTGCTCCCGGCCCATCCTACAGCTCCGATGTCTCTGCGCTTCATCCCCGGAATTATCAGGCATATCAACAATTTTTAAGGTGGGGGATCACCCCCAGAGAGGGGGAACTCCTTCTAAGGACAATCCTTATAAGGTCTTGTAAAAATATTTCTAAGTTTTAAGTCGTCTCAAGAGAGGTGACACTTAAAAATATTCTTACCAGTTCTGACCTGTTCCTGAAATGAAAGAAGGAGTACACAAATCACACAAGATACCTTAACAATTTTAATAGTGGGGATCATCCCCTGAGAGAGGGAACTCTCTTAGAGACCTGTACCTGAAATGATAGAAGGGGTACATTCAACGCATAAGACATACTATTTCTTAACATTTCTTTATTAATAAACACAATGTAATATAATATAATACAAGTTTAGTACCTTAACAATTTTTATAGTGGGATCATCCTCTGAGAGAGGGAACTCTCTTAGAGACCTGTGCCTGTAGTGATAGAAGGGGAACGCACAAATCAAAGAAGTAAATATATCTTACTATTTCTTTATTAATAATAGAATACAAGTTTAGATTTTACAAGTCAACAAAATACATGTCGCCATATTGAAACAGGACTTACGACCTGCTTAGCCGCGCACATGCAAACAAGTACTACTTTGTAAAGTTCTACCGGGATAATGAAATTAGCAAATAGCCTACTTTCTATGTGATTAAAAATGAAAACAAATATACAGGGTGTTACAAAAGGAAATATTTACAGTGCAAACAAAAAACTATCACTAACACTACTAACGTCGCTCCTTTTCACTAGACGATCAGAGGAAACTAATATACAGGGTGTTTTAGAAAGAAAATTCAAAGTGCAAAGAAGAAAATCCTAAAAACAACAGTTGAAGCAAAATTTTCACGGACACAAAAGAAAACGAATATACAGGGTGTACCAGAAAGAAAATACCAAGTTCAAAACAATGAACATTCAAAACTGACAAATAAAGACAATCTTCTATGTGCGTTTAGGAAAACTAATATACGGGGTGTTACAAAAAGAAAATTTTCGAAACTACAAAAATAATCAATATTAACATCATGACACGGGAAATTTATATGGAAACAACATTATTTTAATATAAATTAAAAGATTTCACCCGAAAATGATCGGGAAATTAAGCAAAAAGGTGCTAGAAAAGATAACAATTACATTTTAATATATTGTGAATATATATTTATTAATTAATTAAACCGACGGGTGAAGCATCATCATAAATTGATAGAATATCCGGTGGAAAACATCTAAATCAACAGACGACAAGCGACGGCGAGTGGCATTACTGTCGTTAAATACGATAAAAATAACAAGGTAATTTTTTGTAAATATTAAGATATACGGAGACTACGAAAACGAAGAACTATTCACCGTACAAGATTTTATTACGTCAACAAGAGACTTCTTAATTTAATGCTGCTAACAAGTGCAATTCGATTAAAAACATTCACGTGTTCAGCGAAAGGATGACCGAGCCGACGGCCGACGGCAAAGTGAGCGCGGTCGACCACATAAATATTGTCATTTTAATACTCCACAGATAATTTTTAAAACTGTCTTTGTAATAATTAAATCATGCATGTTATTTTCGGAAACGGGACTAATAATTCTGATAGGAATGGAACCACGTGTTTGTAATTTGCAAGATAATACAAGCAAAATTAATATCCCTCAAATGGAATAATCAATTTTAGTTACACCGCCTTAAGTTTGCGGGATAAAAATTTATTACACACGTACCTTTGCATTGATGAGGAAATTCTATATCCTGTAATATATTCTACCAACTAAAAACTCGCGCAGGGATTAACAAATACTTATTTTTGAGTTAAGAACACTCTAACCGCGACAAATCATTAAACAAAACAGCCGCACATGTCCGTCCCGAATATTTTGCTGATGGCCGAAAGAATACACGTCGATTAATCCAATTAAAACCTCAAAACGCGTGGCGATTAGAGAGACACGATTGCCGATCACGCGGTGTAACGACTGCCGTGTGCGCTGCGCGTTGCCAGGTACAAGGCAGGTACGTCGCGATAATACGCGTCAGTCGAACAAAAAAGTTGTTTATAAAACGTAGTGGAATACCAAACTAAAATTTCACAATGTTAAAATAACCGACATACACGAAATAGATTAGATTTTATTTTCTTCGCTGTTTAATCCATATTAATTTATAATATATATATATATATATAAGAAAATTATTGAGAGCTAAGTAAGACCGCGTTCGCGTGTTATAATAAAAAAAACTACAATTCCTAGCGCAACAAGTACAAGTGCGTATACACACAACTATCATTATAACTCGCGTTACGGAATTTTCTCGCAATAAATTTCGATACAGAAAAATAAAGAATTAAATTCCGCATGTGGGAAAATTATTCCGAACTAAGTTTGAAACCGCGTTCGCGAGTTATAACAAGAAAACTACAGTTCCTAGCGCAACGCGTACAAATGCGTATACACACAACTATCATTATAACTCGCGTTACGGAATTTTCTCGCAATAAATTTCGATACAGGGAAATAAAAAATTAAATTCCGCATCTAGGAAAATTATTGTGAGCTCAGTTTAAGACCGCGTTCGCGTGTTATAATAAAAAAACTACAATTCCTAGCGCAACGAGTACAAGTGCGTATACACACAACTATCATTATAACTCGCGTTACGGAATTTTTTTCGACGATTTTCAAAAATTCATATCTCTTAAACTAAAAGAGATAGCTACCAACGAATTGTTGATTATGAAAGATTGGGAAATTTTCTATTAGATAAAAATATAAAATAATTATATTTCCTACAGTAAAAGGTCGAAAAACGCGACTAAAAGTGCTAAAAAGTGACATTTTGCAATTTTTGCCCATTTTATTCAATCGCGAATATCTCGTAAACTAAAAGAGATAAATAAGATCTGATCGCAGCGTCTTAATCTACGGACCAATCCCTATCAGATAGGATAGTTAAAAGGGAAATCTGAGAGATGAAATTTTAAGTCTTAAGAAAAAATTGCCAAGGGGGGGTGCTTGATACTTTTTTTCGACGATTTTCAAAAATTCATATCTCTTAAACTAAAAGAGATAGCTACCAACGAATTGTTGATTATGAAAGATTGGAAAATTCTCTATCAGACAAAAATATAAAATAATTATATTTCCTACAGTAAAAGGTCGAAAAGTGCGACTAAAAGTGCTAAAAAGTGACATTATGCAATTTTTACCCATTTTATTCAATTGCGAATATCTGGTAAACTAAGAGAGATAAATAAGATCTGATCGCAGCGTCTTAATCTACGGACCAATCTCTATCAGATAGGATTGTTAAAAGGGAAATCTGAGAGACAAAATTTTAAGTCTTAAGAAAATATTGCCAAGAGGGGGTGCTTGATACTTGTTTTCGACGATTTTCAAAAATTCATATCTCTTAAACTAAAAGAGATAGCAACCAACGAATTGCTGATTATGAAAGATTGGAAAATTTTCTATCAGATAAAAATATAAAATAAGTATATTTCCAATAGTAAAAGGTCGAAAAACGCGACTAAAAGTGCTAAAAAGTGACATTACTCAATTTTTGCCCATGTTTTTCAATCGCGAATATCTCGTAAACTAAAAGAGATATTTAGGATCTGATCGCAGCGTCTTAATCTACGGACTATTCTCTATAAGATAGGACAGTTTTAACGGAAATCTGAGAAATGAAATTTTAATTCATAAGAACAAATTGCCAAAGGGGTGGTGCTTCTACCGCTCCCCTTGTATGGTGCCCTGAATACGAGTCACTTCTACCGCTACCCTCGTACGGTGCCCTGAATACGAGTCACTGCTACCGCTTTTAAAGTATAATTGCAAGCGACTAACGGATCAAAGAATATGAAAGATTGGAAAATTCTATATCAGGTAAAAATTAAAAATAATTTTGTTCCGTGGGGTATATGCGATTAAATCTAAACTAAAATATACTGCATGCGATATGAAAAGATGACAACGCGACACAAAAATGTTGTTTGTACACAAACGTTGATAAATAAGCAATTTTCAGTTGATGCTAGTCCCATCTATGAAATATACTGTAAATAAAAAGAAACAAATTTTCAAAATTCTCCTAAAAATGAAAATCAGTGAGATGAAACAAGAATTGATAAGGTATTCAATCTTATAGAGAATTTTCTAAAGATTTAGAATCTTTAATCCGACATAATTGGAATTAAAAAAAACGAGACCAAAATGTTATAGAGAGGGTTAAGACGGAATTCCGCTGAATTGGATCATCAAGTACAACTCTTGCGCTTTTGTAAGCGCAAAGGAAAAACTAAACAGTTAATTTTTAGATGTATCAGCCGAGTACGCGACTATTTTATATATTTGCAACACCCGGTGGAACGCGATAAATCAGAACAATGTAAATACAAACTAATGTAGAACGCAGAAATAAAAATGAAAAATATAATTGAATTATAAACTTACCAATGCAGAATTCATAGACTACAAGGCACGGCAAATACTGTAAATAAACAAAGAAAACATATGTTAAAACAAAAACATTTAATACAATTTAGTAATATTATAATCACACAGCGGAGAAAAGCAAACAATCTGTGCTGTTTACTAAAAGTTACTTACACCAGCACAATGGGTGATCCTAATGATGAATATCAAATCAACATGGGGGAGATACACTTAACCGGCATTTATGGACAATAAACGCGCAAACAGTAAATAACATAACTATAGTCGATTGATGATCAACCAGATACCGGCATAAAACTGGCTGCAAACTGTGCAAGCAACGACGCGACAGTTAGTGATAAGAATGCAATAGATGCGCAAAGCCAGTGCGTCGATGGCACGGGACCTTGTGCGCGAATCGCTTTGGCACGTTACCTGCGATCAAAACTAAACTAAGCTGCGCCAACATGCGGCGTGAGGGGATCTCATGCGTTGCATTCTCCCGGCGAATGCGATAAGAAAGTGAAAGTTGTGTTCAAAACAAATACAATTCTCGTGTCGAATGCTCGCGCTTGCTGATAGCTATAGAAATAAACATCTATTTACAATTTTTATTAATGCTAGTGCCATCTATAAATAATGCAAAGAGTAGTCCCCAAATTTGGATTAAAAAATGAATATAAATTTAAAATCCGAATTATGTAATTCAAATTTCTTATACTGAAAGATTGCCCGAATTTTATTAGATTAACAACAAACGTTTTTAATTTAATGATGTTAACGAGAGCAATTCGATTAAAAACGTTTTCGGGATCAGTGCACACAGAAACGAACCGACGGCCGACGGCAGCTAACATTGACACTAAAAAGCAAAATTAATATCCTTTAAATAGAATGTTCAATTTGTGTCAAATCGCCTTAACTTTCCGTAAACATATTTAAGTATGCACCTACCAGTTCATTGCTGAGGAGATTTTAGATCCAGGAATATGTACAATCAACTGAACGCAGATTAACAGACACTTATTTCTTAATTAAAGAGACTCTATGCTCCACAAATCATTTACCAAACAGGTACACACGCCCTTTTCGAATATTTTGCGGATGACCGAAATAATACACGACAATTAATCCAATTAAAATCACAAAACGCGACGCGATTAGAAAGACACGTTCGCGGACCACGCGGTGAAACGACTGCAGTGTGTGCGGCGCGTAGCCAGGTACAAGGCAGGTATGCAGCGATATCACGCGTCAGTCGAACAAAAAAAGATGTTTATACACAAACGTACTGATAAGCACGTAGTTGTGAAGAAGACAAAACTAAAATTTCACAATGTTGAAATAACCGACATACACGAAATCTACTTTTATTTTCAATATTTTTCGACATAAGAAAAGAATTTATTGGCTTAGGGAATTTAATTTACCATTACAACTAAAATAATTTATTGTCTCCGTAAATTGGTGTTCGCAACATCGCGCCTAATTTAAATATTCACTGTAAGATAAAGTATTAAAATCCGAAAAATAACAGGTGAAAAAGATTCATGATAAAAAAATGCATGAGGAGGTACGGCCTCTTTTTCCCAGCTTCTTTTCTTCAATTGTCAATATCTCATAAACTAAAAGAGATAGGAAAGAACGGATTGATGATTGTTAATCTACGTCAACTACTATAAAAGATATAAAATTAGCTACTTAAATGGAAATTCAAAAAGATGAAAGCATAATTAATAACAAATATTGGCAAAGGGGGATGGGGTGCTGCGTCATGTTTCTTGAGTATTTTTGGTAACGAATATCGTTTTAATTAATAGCGCTAGCGCCAAACTAATTGAAGATTATGAAAGCTTAATTCTTTATCAGGTAAAAATATAAAATAATTCAATTTTCTGGGCCAAAGGGTCCAAAAATAATTTATATTTTATGAATACGACTCACTGCTAACGCAACCCTTGTACGGTATCCCGAATACGAGTCACTTCTACCGTCACCCCCTACGGTGCTCTGAACATGAGTCACTTCTACCGCTACCCTCGTACGAGGTCCTGAACCGAGTTACTTCTAGCGCTACCTTTATACGGTGCCCTGAACACGAGTCATTTCTACCGCTACCCTCGTACGATGCCCTGAACCGAGTCACTTCTACCGCTACCTATATACGGTGCCCTGAACCGAGTCACTTCTACCACTTCCTTTATACGGTGCCCTGAACACGAGTCACTTCTACCGCTACCTTCGTACGATGCCCTGAACCGAATCACATCTACCGCTACCTATATACAGTGCCCTGAACCGAGTCACTTCTACCGCTACCTTTATACGGTTCCCTAAAACGAGGCACTTCTACCGCTTACTTTATATGGTGCCCTGAACACGAGTCATTTCTACCGGTAATAATTATTTTTTATTTTGGTATATAAATTAGCAATGTTTTTCGAAATAATAATAATCAAATTGTTTGGATGTAAATATTAGTTGATACGAAATAGGAAAGTAAAAATAAATGTGCCAAAGTTTGTATGCGCTAGTATGTGTAAGTGCATCACCCGACGGAACGGACTCGATCCAGAAAACCGTTGTTTACGTTTGCTAGAATGTGACCAATGTGCAAGGATAAACCGGCGATAACAATACTAGTGGGTACGAATGAAGTCAGATTCACTGCATGGAACAACAATACTTAAAATGTAACTTACTAGTTAATTTGTTCGCTCATGAACATGTGGTGACGAGAACGTAGTGTAAGAATATGTCCATTTGAATCGGAAGATACCCGACGGCACATTACGCAACGGAAAAATTAATTCTCGTCATTCTCGTTAGCAAAACACAATAACACTCATGTTACAACAAAACCATTCGCACATCAACACGATAAAAAATGTTATAAACAAACACTAATAAACCAATAATTAATCCCCGATTGAACACGATTAAATATGTAGATATAATCACATAATATTGCAGAGTTATGATTGATTAAACACATAGTAATTACAGAATTTAAACCGAAAAAAGACAGCCGCACTCCAAGAACGCGAGACAAACACTGAGAATACACTGAGAATGGGTAGTAGGCATTCGACAGGTTCAAACATGTCAAATACCCCACCCTTTTTCCCGGCGGATGTTACAGGTAGCCGCAGGTTGCAGATAGTCAAGCACACAGAAAATGATCAACCTGCGTTTCATTTTTATATTCATAAAAACATAAGCGTATTCTCTCAAAAATTTAACAAAAATAAATAAATTCTTAATTAAACGACTATTTATGTGTTAATCATAAATATCACCAGTCCGCGGCTCTTTTTGCTTGTACTGCGCTTCTGCTGTTTCTTCGAAATCAATTCTTTTCCTTTTAATAGTATCCAACTGATGATAATTCGGAACATTTTGAAGATGCTGACTAAGATTCCTCCTTATATTCAATCGTTCATGAATACAATCATTATCCTCAGTATGATTTGCAACTCGTGGCATTCCCTGCCTTTCGTAAATGTGTTGTTGAATCATTTGATTCTTTAACTGAGCTATATGCATGTTCATTGGATTATATTCGACGTAGTTATCCTGGTGACTGGCAATATCTTCACAATTTTGTTTAGATCCACCATAATAATCAGACTTATCATAAACCCATTTAGGTACTGCTCTACGTGGACCAACATTTGAACCTGCGTCTGCATGATTTGAAATTGGATAGTATTCCTCACATGTGGAAGATCCTTGAGCGGCGGGAGGACCGTCACACGTCTGTTTGTGGAGCACATTTGAAGCCCCTGGACTAGTCAACTGATGCTGTAGCATCATGCGTTGTGAAGCAACTGGTCCTTCAATACTCAAGTATGGATTCCTACGCATGACAACTGGATCAAAATGCCTTGATTTGAAATATTCATTAGCAGCAGTTGAAGTAGAATTATAACTTGATGGCATTGATGATTGGAAATGTTCGCCTGGGTAATCTATTCCATCATTATTCTTTAAATAGCGTTTGTGAAGGAAATAATCTCTTTTGAACTTTGCAGATGTCACATTAGGAAGTCCATGGGAAATATTTGCTTGTTGCCTCATATGATCTTGATCATATAAGTGTGACGGTTCTACATTCGGATAATATGGTACTCCGTGATGCTGCATGATCAAAGAAGGTTGTATCTCGGATTGAGGTTGTGGCGAGGGTTGTTGATGTGCTTGAATATGAGTCTGTAGTCCCCGAAATGTCTTGTACTCTTTGCTACAGTAGCTACACTTGTACTCCTTTTTTTCTTTAACTGGTTTGATAAAACTATAAAGACACAAATATATAATCAGCTGTATTGTTTAAAAATGTGGGCTAGCAACGTACTTGCCGTTCAGATCGTGGGAATTCATCACGTGATACTTCATCCCATTAGGATTTTTGTAGCTTTTAGTGCAACCCCGCACGGGACAAGCGTATTTTTTAATCTTTACCGCATTCATCACACTCTTTGTATCGCAATCCTGAATCGGTTCTGGCGGGCTCATATCAGGACCATACCAGTATGCTTTACTGTGTGTAAGTATGTTTAATTACAGTTTTCCGTAAAATAAATGATAATTCTACATACCTTATCGGCCTCTTTAACGGGCGATCCGTTGTTGTGTCGTGGACCAAAAGAGAAACATCATCTAAGAATTTAAAGACTTTTTGTTTCATAAATTGTTTAATAGTTACTTGCTTACCATTTTTGAACTCATTGTTCTTCAAACATTGCTCCTCCTTTTTTCTGACTTCAGCTATGTCCTCATCCTTGCCATATTGTAAAATTAAACTCATGGGGATGCCTTTGGTAGGAAACTCGTCGTCGTCAGATTCCAAGTAGTTCTTGATTTCATCTTGATCTGCATCAAAATCTATAAATAAACAATGTGATACCAGTGATCAAAACCACCAAAAGGTTTATTTATTGCAATTTCTTCAAACCTATATGAACTGCCTCAATGTGCAATATTAAATTATGAATATTATCAAACGTCTTTCCGCAATTATCATATCTGCAAACGTTTGACAAATAACCATCCATTTCAAATGCGGTTATTAGTTTTATACCGCATTTCTACCGCATGCAACAATTCTCATCTAACTACATTCATAGTTGGCTCTTCACAAAACAAAACGAGGCATATAAAAAAAACTTGAATTTTTATCGTATAAAAGAAATATTCCATGCGAATACTACAACCATGTATTTACATAGAGATGCGCAGGTAAATTATTGTGTGAACGCAATGTTTATGTTTTGTACTCAATCGGACACGGCTATCGTTTATCGCGAAGTGTACTCACTAACACCAACAAACAACTTTACCGATGCAAACGCAAAATGTGCCGTAAAAACCGCGCTGCGAATATATTGCAATTTTGTGCATGTAGGCGCCATCTTGCCTCAAACTATAGTTACGAGTATAAAACTGACAAGGACACATTATCAATTCAATTCAATCTCACTGCTGGAAGTAAACAAGAATTAAATGCAAATAGTATGCTACACGTTAATTTAAAAATAAAACAAAATGTCGTTTTCTTGTAGCATTCAAATTAAACTTTATTTCGTAAGCATTTGTGTTATTTCTGGATGAATGTGATTCTGTAACGTATATCGTTCGTTTTGTACATTTATTTAATAATCATAATTATTGTCTTCATGTTATTAAAATGCACTTGACCATATTCAGTTAATTACAACAACAAATTGCGGTATGAAGGCATTGTCACTTCATTCACCTACGAAGTACAGAAATTAGTAAACTACACAAAGCCCTCAACATACATTTTACTGCAAGATCTATAATAATGCAATTGAGTTACGTTCGTTTCTAGATTCGCCTCCATGTATAAACAAAAGTTTCGTTGCAAAGAACAGATGCATGTCTTTAACATAATAATAACAGAAACTGATTGCAAAGCGTAATATAAAGTTCAAAGGTAATAAAATTCTCATTATTTATATGTACCTTAAACTAGTATTTCATTTCGTTTATGTATTTAAATATGTATATATTTATATATTTATATATAATTTGTTAATCACCATTGTTGATACGTTTGTGTTACCATTCCGCGATCACATGATTATAATGCATTAAAGATTTTACAAAGTAGGAGCGTTTCTACATTACATATGGCTGTAAGATAATGGCGGACTGACTTGGTCTTAACGCGCTGTTATAACAATTATTTATTATGAAATGGCACAATTAATCATCAAATTATAATAAGAAAACACATTATGGTATAGCGTATTAAAAAAATCCATGGCAGTTGTAAAGATGTGTAACTGTGTATGTTTGATGGTAACAGTATTCTTTCATGTACCAATTTGGGAGTTAAGTATTAAAATATTAGTTAACATCAAGATAAGATAACTAATGAACATGCAGATAACATTTCGTTACAAATTATTTTCGTCTCGGTCTGAACACAAATAAGAACACACAAAAATATTAATATGAGCTACGCGGTTTCATTGTTTTCATTATCTCCTTATATTCTATTATAGGAATCCTCCCTAAAACAAACAAAACACACAACTATTTAGTATTCTCATAATCTACAATGCAGACACACTCACACTTACGTCTTATTAAATCCGAGCATTGCGTTAAACTTGCGTTAGTATTAAGAGTCGTTATTTATAATAATATAAGCAATATCAGTCTAATAATTCCCTTAACAAATTAATTAGTATACGTGTTACATTAGACTATTTACAATGAGTACACACAGCTTCAACATTGCAATTATATTTACAAGATATGCATCATCGCTCACTTCACTCTCATTGCTCATTCATTACGATTAGGACTACTGGCTAAATTGCTTTTTGATAGATGGTTTTGCAGCAATACATTAATTGGCAAATTGGCATTAGTTGTATGTTATATATATACATAACTGGATAACATTAAATGGACAATCAACAATCAAGTTCGCACCACACCTGCGCTTAGATTTTTAGTCAAAGCAAGAGCAACGTGAGCAAACCAAGGAAAGAGCAACACGCACAATCGAGTAGATGGGTGCGCGTTGCGGTGCCGGACGAGGAAGGTTTCGGATGGATTATGTTCACGGGAGGTGGCGGAATGATTTCATCGAATTGATCGGAATCTGTGAATATTAACGAGGACGGAATCCAACTGTGTCTATCCGTTAATAGTAAGCATCAAAACAAACGATGAAGAAGAAACAATTACTGTTAGTATGCGTGCTATTGTCTCAGAGTACTCACCGGTAGCAAGCTTTCACGTTGACGCCAGATATAGCAGTGCTGCCCATATCCAGCAGGTAGGAGTCCTGCAATTCAAAGCCGTGGATGCATCCTTTGAAGTTTTCGGTAAAGCGGTCTCTTGTCATTTCCCTATTGTTGGGAGTTCCGCCTAAAAAATATTGATTACAGTAATCACGCATACAAAAAAGAGTAGACTAATGGTACCTAAGTAAATATTCCCACTGCAATTCAATTGATTGGTAATGCCTGGGGCTTCGCCATGTTCTACATAGTCACTATCCACTTCGATGGAACCTTCGCGTCCACTGCGCTTTAGAATGACTCTGTGACGAGTACCATCATCAATACGTACTTTCTCATTGCGGATGATTGCTGGCCCATTGCCCAAATCATAACTGAACTCCAAATATCCATTCACGACTAGAAGAATTACACATTAAGAGATTGAAAAAATAAGCAATTATGGGGCCTTACGTGCTAAGGCGATGTAATCCTCTCCAGAAGTATCATACTGTCTCTGACCCTGCCAGAAAATCAGACCATTGCTGGAGTTCGTCGATAATTCCAACGCAATCACCTCCTCTTTTTCGTCATTCGAATGATCTAGCCTGTCCTTACTAAATTCAATATATCCGTTTCCATTGAAATTGGCATCATTTCTGATTGTTGCCGGATGTTCACAATTAATTCCTGTGTAGCCCATTGGACAGTGACAGACATATTGGCTTGATGTGCCCTCGCACGTACCATGGTTTTGACAGGGCCTCAAATGATCGCACTGATTTGGTGGAATTTCGCAGTTATCGCCGCTGAATCCATTAACACAAGAACATTTATATTCGACAGGTGAAAGTGGATAACACTGCCCGTTATTTCGGCATGGGATGCTGGAACAGCCAGTTTTTCTTGTGTCGTATCTCTGCACGTCCCCGAATGCGCTCACGTCGTTATCTGAGTCATGATCAAATCCGTCATCTACCGAACTGCAATCCTGAACGTTCGAAGCGTCTTGGGCCGAATGGATTGGATGAATATCCAAGCTAGACACACTAACTTCAGAAATACAGCCATTGAAACCTTCGTCAACACCAATGCCATGATTCAGTTTGATTTTCTCCGTATCGTAACCGCCGATGAAGAAAGGTGTACGAAGTTGCAGTGCTCTGTGAATACCACTTGATTTGCCAATGACGACATTGTCTCCATTAACAATCAATCGTCCTTCATTAACTGATCGGCTTGCTGTTATGATGACCCATTTATTAGGTACCAGTTCATTTTCACTCTTGATGATCACTGGGCCTGAAAATATATCATAAATTATATATAAGAAAATAGAAGAAATAGTCTTATCATGTTAAAATCTTTACCATTATAGCTATCATCAGCTGCTTCAATATTAATAATAAATTGTTAGTAAATGTGGTTATATTTTAAGAGTAACATTTCTCATGTACTTACCATTGCCAACATCAAATCTGAATTGTAAGTGCCTGTCTTTCACTGCTAAACTCACAAAATCGCCATCTCCCTCTTCCGTCTCACCGCAATAGGCAATCAAACCATCACTCGTATCTCTAGGCTTTATTTTCATTGAGATTTTAAGACGCCTAACTTGATTTGGTGTAGGATACGCAATGTAAGCATTCTTTGAAAACGCTGGCTCAATGATTTCGACTGTGCGTTCACAATGCCTACCAACACGACCTATCGGACATTTACATTGATAGCTATCATCAGTTTCGACGCATGAACCGACTCCACAAGTGTCTGCAACATTTATTTAAATGAAACAAAACTATTTTAAACAATAAATATTGATAACTTACGGGCATTGCAAGATTCTGCTCCGATTTTGTTACAGGTAGGGCCGCTAATGCCTGTCGGACAGATACAAGTAAATCCTTCTTTGGTTAATGCTCCTTGGCACATTCCGTGATTTTCGCAAGGATTTTCCGAGCATGTTTCGCAGTTTGTGATACCTTTCTTGCCAATCGCTTCTCTAGAGATATCAACGATGGCATGGCCTATTTTGAATGCAGCGATACAACCCACCATTCCCTTGTTGCTGCCCACCAATGGCGAAATTTGATCAAAGCTTGGTACACCACCCAAGTACAGGGGTTCGGAGAGTGACAAAGATGAATATTTACTACTGGCTAAAGCAGTAAATGGTCCCTCGCCATCAACGTACATGGTTACCTTTCTCCTCATACGAATGATCTTGATAGTGTGCCATTCGTGCATCGTCAATGGTCGCTCACTATTGACAACAGCGGAGGAGTTTTGACCCATATTGTATTTGAATTCGGGAATACCGTTGCGCAGTGCGAGGGAAATAAAGTCACCGTCGGATGCATTACGTTTATGACCATTGTACAGGATCAAACCATCATGATTCTCCGGCTTGAATGAAATCTCCAAGGTGAACTGAAGATACGAATCGGGAAGTGGTACCAATTCAATGTAGCTGGTTGGTGCTTGTGTGAAATAGGGAACCACGCCCTCAATAATCAAAATATTCTTTGCTTGTAGAGTTTTATGAGGATTTGATGATGTGCAAATGTAAGTACCGGCATCATTAACACCAACATTTTTCAATTGTATTGAGTGCTGAAAATAGCAACCAATAATTAATACAAAACAACCAAGATTAAGTAATAATTTCTTACGCTGTGTATGTCAATTCCTTTAGGTAACAGGCCTTTATCTTTGGTCCACGTGAAAGTTACGGGTGCATCTAATTGGGTTTCACAAGCCAGTACAACCGTTGAACCCGCCATTGCCGTTTTTGTATTCACATTATCGTTGTTCATATCATCACTCACATCAATAAAGTGATCTTTATGGTAGAATCCTTCGTATCCTCTCGCTTCACACCTGTATACGCCGTTGTTTTCAGGTCTGATGGAATGGAATGTCAGTTGTCCGCCATTAATTTTAACGTTGTCCGCTTTGCGTCCGTTCAATTTGGTCCAGATTACAATGACGCCAGGTTCATTGGATCTACAGTAGATCTCCACATTATCACCCGACCGTGGCGTTGGTGTTGATGCGTGAATGTCCAGTTCCGGTTTTGATGGCTTCTGCGCTTCTTTCCGCACTGGGAAAATCATTAATTAATTTCAATGAAAATTTCTGAGTGTGAACAAAATAATGGTCATAAACCAACAAAAGTCAGTGTTTCTGTTATTAATAAAAAATGCCAAGTGCTATAATAATGTTTCTTTCAGAAATCATGAATATGTACTATTAATTATGATATTGGACTGTGATATGTGTTTTATATCATGAATAATCATTGTTAGTTAAATGCAAACAACCAGTCAATTACTTTGCACGCTAAAATGCTAACCTAATATCGCAAAGAATGAAATGAAATTTTGCTCCCTTCTTGAATTGAATCTAGAATGAATTTCTGTAAGAATTATTATTATTGCACTTGTCGTGTATAAATCAAACGCTATTTGAAAGCTTTTCGTATGGTTTACAGATCATTATTCTTAGTCAAACTACGTCCCATACACATAGACCGTGAGCCCAAAACAGAACAAAAGCAAATATAAAATTTAAAAAAACAGACCCCTGAAGTTGTCCATGCATAAAATACAGGGACAATTACATGAACAAAATGGTGCACATGCTAGTAATAAATAACGGTTTTTTAGTAACTCAACCACAAAAATTTTAATCGACACGTACCGACGTGCAGGGAGACAAATTGCCTCGGTGATCCTGGCGCCGTTGATTCACAGTAATATTCACCGCTATCTGCGGAGGAGACATTGTAAATTCTAAGTTCTTCACCGTACGTTCCGCTCTGGCTATGATGGGCTGGTAATTGAGCGTTGTGTTTTGACCAATACACCCGTGAATTTCCGGCGTTGCAGGTCAGTGTTACTGTGTCCCCAACTTGAGCATTTTGATGTTTGTTCGTATTTGGTGGTTGAGAGTTATCGTCTATAAATATTTAATAGAATAATTAGTAAATGGTTTCTAGAATATTGTGTGTCATAGGCCGGAAGAAGGTCCAGCGGAATAACATAGATGTTGTTGTAATGTACCTTGGACAACAACCTCCGCAACAGCATCAGCTTCTCCAATACTGTTTACAGCCCTGCATCTGTATGTGCCCGCATCGGATAGTTGAATACCTCGGAAATGCAAAAGACCATCCCTAGCATAAACATTATTAGACAATGCTCGATTATGTCCCGTCCAGGTAATATTGATGGGTTGATCGCCTGTTGCGCTACATTCGATGGTAGCGTCCGCTCCAGGACGAACAATTTGCCTCGGTGGTTGTAATCTGATTCGGGGTATCGCTGTAATAAATGAAACGCAAATGATTTCACACATTGTTTTCCAAAATCATACACAAAAATAGCGATTTATGATTGGGATGAGTCATGATTGAAATGAGTTGAAAATCCGTGTTTTGCTTGCGCATCGTACCTCTCAAAGCGCACAATTCTTCTTCGGCTAATAATGCGAGAGTAAACAAAGAAAGAAATTCGTTTCAATACATTGACAAAATCAGATGCTGCACAAAATAGTCAAAGCCTTGCAAACTACATCTATTGGAATATCAAGTGTGAACGTGTGTACTTACTTAAGACTTTCAAGTTCGCGACTACCCTGAAAATAGTCTTGTTCGTGATGGTCGATCGTCCCAAGCAGTTGTACTCGCCAGCGTCGGTGGGATGCGTATTGTCCAAGATCAAAGTGCCATTTTGAACATAAAAGTTTGTGGGTAAGGGTTTACCGCCAATTCGGATCCAGGTGGTGTGAATCGGTTCGCCTTCTAAAAGGGGACATGTCCGCAAATAAGCCATTTGGATTTATAGCCGCAACTTGCTCGTTGATTCTATTTACCGTTGTTGTCAATGTTACACCGCAGCTCCGCTCGGTTTCCGGCTGGCACGATAAACGTTTTATTCTGAATGGGGCGCAGAGGCTCGTTATTTTTCAAACGCGACTCGCCGGTACCGCCAGGATCTTCATCTATATATGTATTAACATCATTTAGAACTTGCATTACTTACATCCCTATTACATTCAGTTTTCGGCGTATACCTCGAACTACTAGCATGCCTGTTAATCAACAACCACTGACAGACAATAAATGCCTTTCATCGGTCATTAACAACATTTGTTGCAAGTGACGCACATGTGATGTGCTACGTTCTAAGCGTAAAGCAATAAAGAGAGTACAAGTGCAGGTGCAATGTGTTTACAATATAAATAAAGACTTTATTACCAATTGGGATTGCACATTTAATTCAAACACAACTTAGAATGTGTGCTGACACCCCAATTGGTTATAACTCCTTGATAGTGTTAGAAATTATAAAATTTAACTGTGAATAGCAGGAAATAATGTGCGGGTGCCATGATACTGTACAATCTCCCACTCACCTTTGCTTTGCGTACGATTGCCTAAACCCCCCGGGGTTAGTAAGGAAATCATGAAAAACCACCCATTAAAATGTTTATATTAACTGTACAATATTACTTGTGATTCTATTAAAGCTTGAAGTAAATGAAACTTTATTTTAAAATCTCACCGGTAATATCACCTCGTGATGGGAAATCATTGGTGACAATTAACTCAATCCTCTCTTCACTTACTCCAGCGTCGCTTCTACCCGAACAGATGTAAGTACCTTCATCGTCCTCGGTTGCCTGTGTAATTTCTTTCACCGCATGATTCGTGAAGGTTCTGTGTTGGCTTTCAGGGCTGAGACCAGACAAACCACTATAAAATGACCTTTAGATACATTTGAGACCACCCTTTAATATTAAATTATAGATAATTACTCTCTACGCGTGTGCGCTACCCATTCAACGCTCGGTTGAGGCGAGCCGTGGCCTGTACATTCCAAGCGTACATATTCGCCACGCTGGACTTTCAACATTGACTCAGATGGATTGATGCGAACTGTTGGTAATTCACGTACAACAATTGAAGCAATTGATGTCACCCTCCCTGCATCGTTCTCAGCCGTACATTCGTATTCGCCTGCATCTTCCAAACGAATTTCCATCAGGCTTAAAACATACATGAGACTTAAAAGTACGTCAACATCCAAGAAATCATAATCAATGAAAACGCATATGACAAGACACAGTATCCCTTAAGCAGTAAATATAAACCAAGGATAAGAAGAATAACCAAGCCCACTCTCACTGAGGGCGGCAGCATTTTAAAACTAATCAATTTTGACACTATATGTCACTACGGACAACCTAATTACCTTATCACACCGCGGGCAACAGAAGCTTGGTGAGATATAGGTCTGTTATCCACTCGTCTCCAGCTGAGATCCGGCATGGGAACACCTGCTGTAACTCTGCATTGCACCATCACCCTATCACCGGCTGTAACCACCTGAGTCGTATTCGGATAAATCGAAACACTCGGCGGCACCCGGCGATCAACCTCGATGAGGACGCTGCCTTGAGCGAGACCGAGTCCGTTTTGTGCCAAACAAGAATAAAGTCCACGATCGCCAAACTGCACATTTCTCAACCGCAGGACCGGATCCGAAGGATTCACGTAATCAGGCATTGGTTCATTGACCTTGGTCCATTTGACGGTAGGCGTGGGTGATCCAGTAAACTCACAAGTTACTTCAATATTAGTTCCTTGATTCACGTGTTCGTTGCTTTGAGCAATGGAGACGGTCGGCGGAAATGAGTTGCTTCTGTGTACAATCGTTACATTGGCGTATGCGCGTCCCACTGCTCCAAATTCCGTGACGCCATTGCAAATATAAATTCCAGAGTCTTCTGGCTGTGCATTATTGACAATAAGCAAACCGTGTTCATCTCGGTGATTGTAGGGAATCTGCCCGCGTTCCTTTGACCATGTGATACCACCTCGGGCGGCACCACCTGCTTCACAATGTAGGGTGAAGGATTCACCAGCACTGCCGTAGTAACTGCTGGGGGTAATAATCGGTTGAATGGATGGTTCCAGACTGCTCTTCACGACAATCCTCGCTCTCGCTGAATGCGTTCCTAAATTATTCTTGGCCACACACTCATACTCGCCTTCATCGTACTTCATTGCTCTATCGATGCGGAAGATTCCATTGTGGAATGTGTGCTGTAACAAAAAGAAGGTCTAAATGAAACTGCTTACCTTTTAATCCAAACAAATTCTTACCGGGCTAAGAATGTCTCGGGTAAGTTTAATCCATTCCAAAGATGGCTCCGGATTGCCGGTTGCTTGGCAACGAACTTCAATCGGTTCCCCTTCCGTGATGTTCAAATATTGTGGATAGACCATTGCTTGTGGAGACGTAGGAGAGTTTCCTAAATAGAAATAAATGTTCAAAACACATTCAGTTAAAAAAGTATGTAAAATATTATTATTGTTATTAGTCTTTGCGTGGTTTACCTGGAACGTTAACTAAACTCTTCGGAAAAGCTAAGTTTTTGTTATAAGTTGTTAGTATTAGTTATTAGATAATTTCAAATTATAAAAACTTACCACCAACAACCAAGTTAACACGCTCTTCAACAATGGATACATTATCGTCGGCTTGGCAAATGTAGGTTCCGGAATCGCTCACTTGAAGATTCGTGATTACCAAACGACCACGCCTGTCATCAATTGCTCGATTGGGTAGATTTCCGTGGGCCCGGCTCCAATTGAGCCTGACATCCTAAAATTACCAAATCATACAAACTCATATCGTAAAATGGACGCGAATATTAATACGTACGTTGTTCACAGTGGAGCTAGCGGAGCAAGTATACGTTACAGACTGTCCCACTTCCTGAATAATCAAACTTGGTTGACTGATTTGTACTGTAATCGTAGGAATATTTGGATTCGGATCTATTGGTGGCCTTTCAGTAGAGGTTACTGTAAATAATTTAAAAGTTTTCGAGTTAAACACGTTTTCAATCAACGAAATTTAAAATTACTATAATGCTCGCATTGTCGCCCGCTGAATCCTTCACGGCATTCACAGACAACGCTGGCTGATTCGTAATCGTAGTGACAGGAACGATCGTTGTCGTTGCACGGACACTTGTTGCATGAGCCCAAAGGTCCCGATCCCAAGTCGTTGAAGTCTCTGTAGTAACCCAAAGCGCAAGATTCGCAAGATGTTCCGCTATAATGCTATTCAAGCACAAAAAATACTTATTAATTTGTTGTATGTCGTAAAATCTACGAAACTTACGCGTGGACAGCTGCAAACTTCTACATTTGTAGCTTTTGGTTGACCTGTGTTCTGATCGAAAGTTGTATCTAATGTAACATCGCTAATGAAAGAACTAGCAGTGTCAGATGATAAACGCGCCCGAATAAGAATTGAGTTCACATTCGCTAACACTTTCAGAATGTCCTCCCTGGAAGCTGGTTTCGGTGCAGATCGATGATCAAGTCTTTGCCAGTTTGCACTGGGACTCAAAGTAACCGAGACTTTCTGTAAAGACATCACGTTAATGATACTTTAGTAAATTACAATGTGAAAGGCAACTAACATTGGCAAAATTAGGTTGTAATTGTCTTGGATTGGTCCAGAAGATACTAATACCATGTCCATTAATGATGACATCTTGGTCCCTAATGTAGTAAGCATCCGGTCGTTGAGTATACCTTTGAATAAACTCTAATTTTCCTCCGTAAGATGTAATTTTTGAGCCAGTGAATTGCCTCGGCAATGACCACATCAAGCGCTGATTCATGCTTGGTCTAAATGTAAAACCAATTTCGTTGGACTGAATGTTCAACTCAAACGAATTAGAAATCCGTTCAGTTTGAGCCCTAATCAAAACAGAGAATAAAATAGGTGCCATAATAGCATACTAGCAATAAAGACTTACGAATCAGTTAATGTAATACCATGACTGTCGTCATCGAGAATCTGAATCGGTATTTGAGTGATGTACAAGTTGCTCTCTCTACAGTCAGAAACAACACCCGAACAGAAACAGGACTGACAACCCTCAGCGACAGATCCGTTCAAACCAAAAGTACCCTCTCGGCATCGATCACAGTTAGGACCTTCTACGTTAGTTTTACACTGGCACACACCACCGAAGCAATCGTTAGAAATAGAACCATCGGGATTGCATCTGCACGCTTCTGAAGTTTGACCACCACCGCCAATAAATCTGCATGGAACTCTATTTGATGGATCTCCTTCGTAACCAGGAAGGCACGTGTCACAGTTAGGTCCGGTTGTGGAATCTCTGCAGTTGTAGCATTCGCCGGTTTCCGGATCGCATTCGTTCGATAAACCATTGCATTGACAAACTTCACAGGTACCTAGGTAAATACCACCGATGGCACGAGTGTAACCAACTTCGCAGTCTTCACACGATAATCCCTTGTAACCAGTTGGACAATAACATTGTTCAACTGACATTGCTTTTTCTCTTCCGGTATTCCGTTCATCTGCAATATCCAAACTCACTGATTGTAGCGCAGCTTCGCGTGTGCTCGTTGTATAAGTTGCTTTAATCAAAATGGCTTCAACATCAGCTAGAGCCATCATTAGGTGTTCGCGGTCAATCTTTTGGCCATCAGAGCGCTGCCAGTATTGTTCCAGTAGAGGCACAGTCAATGTTTGCACCGTATTCGGCGGGGGTTGTTCTCGGGCAAAATAAGTCAATGTAATGTGATTGGAACTGATAAGTTCAACATCAGGCGCATTGTTCTTTGAGCTAAGGCCACCAGGAGTTGGTACATAACGCAAACTGTATCTCAAGTTTCCACCATAGGATGTTATCTTATTACCGAGGAACCTTGACGGTAACGACCAGTAGTAAACGTCCGGACGCCTGAAGTTATTGTATATAATTTCTCTCGCATTTGTATCCAAGATAATTCCGTCCTCAATATGCGTGTTGATGTGGTTTGATTCAACAAGTTTAAATTCTTGCTTGGATCGAGTGAACGCAGCGTTAATGCTATCTCTGTACCAATTTGAACTGATGCATTGTTCGGTGATCCCCATGCAGAAACATGAGATGCATCCGAATTGATTCTCGCTGGCGAGGTGGAAAGTATTATTCTTGCAATTGTTACAAGTTCGGCCCATTGTGTTGATCTAAATAACACAACACACTATGTTATCCCTGTTTTATGATTTTTGGTCAACAATAACTTACAGAAGATCATTTAAGTTAGCATTTTGAAACGGGATTAATAAATATGTTAGTATAATGTTCCAGAAATTATTAAACTACTTCAGGTACCTTGCATTGACATTGTCCATACGCGTCCACTCCAGTTGACCCTTCAGCACTGCAGCGACTCGTAGCTGGTTTACAGGAATCACCGGCAAGTAATGGATTTCCAGTGTAGCCATGAGCGCAATGTTCGCATCGTCGTCCCATATACTCCGGGGGACAATTACATGTTACTTGACCGTCAGTGTCCAGGGAACAAGTTGAAGCGAATCTAAGACAGACATACGTAATTAATCATTGTCCCTATAACACTTTATGGCAATTTTACTGGTTGCGTGGATCGGTCAGTGGGCAGGGACAAACTTGACATGCGATTCCTCTTGAAGGATCACCATAATAACCGGATGGACATGTTTCCACTTCTTTGTAGCACTGTCCAAGCCATGGACCGTTGCGATGACGAGAGTATCCAGCATCACAAGTCTAAACAAGTAGTTCATTGCAATAATTTGAATTAACCTATTTTACTTAAATAATTTACCTCACAAGACAAACCACTATGTCCAGTCGGACAAGCACACTCTTCCACGAACGTTGCTTTACCTAAATCTGTATTCCTAACTGCCGCAGAATCCATTTCAATTTTATTAATGTTCGTATCTAAATGTCCTTCAATATATTGCAATTTGATTAGAATATTCTCAACCGATGCCAGGGCCATCATGATTTCCTCGCGAGTTGCCAATGTTTCTGGTCTAGACTCAGATCGCTTTACCCATTCGCCAAAGAAGAATCGAACAATAACTTCAGCACGAGTACCCGCATGATATTGTTCACCAATGTACAACAAGGTGTATCCATTACCAATTAAAATAACATTTGGTGCGGTGATAGGCCTACCATTGCCTTCATACAGTAATTGATACTTCAAATACCCGCCATAACTCTTCAATTGATTGCCGTGGTAATTTTCGGGCAGCGCAAAATAAGGAATAACATTCGGTTGTAACAATTCTCCGCGTGGAAGCTGCGCGTGAACACCATTCAAACCGGGTACGGGTGTAAGTCGTGGTTCAGCACCTTTGTAAATCGGCTCGTCCCGGACATCAACCACACCAGAATGTGGGTCGATTCGAACTCCAAGCGCCTTGTGCGCATCGAAAGGTGGCGGTAGATGATACGTGAATAAGTTAGCAGATGAACATTCGCTGGTCACGCCGAAACAGAAACATGCAATGCATTCGCTGGGACTGCGCGCTTCCGAGTTGAAGAATCCCTTCGTGCAAACACCGGTCGGTGGGTTAACCACCAGGATAGTATCCGGCACCGCAAGAACCGATCCCTTGATGTTAATACCCTCACAGGAATAGGCGCCTTGATCAGATTCCTGAATATCCGCGCAAATCAATGTACCCACGCCATTGACGCTAGTCGTGCGACACTTTTCAGGAATATGTCCCCAATTCAAGCGCCAGATAATCTCTGGCACCGGAATACCCACAGCCGTGCAAGTAATCTGGAATGTCTGACCGATTTCCAAGTGCATCATCGGTGGTGGTGGACGCATGATATTCACGGGCATGCAACCGATTTCGTCACTGCCGTCATTGCAGTCGTTGTGCAAATCACAATGGAAACTCTTCGGTATGCATTGATTACCAGACTTGCACGCATATTGCACGGGACTGCAAGCTTGGCCAGGTTCCCGAACACCGCAATTCATTTCGTCGCCATTATCGCCACAGTCGTCTTCGGAGTCGCACACCCACGTCTTGAGAATGCAGCGTTTGTTCGGGCAACGGAATTCGTTCGGTTCGCATCCATGTGGATCTTTAAACACAAACATAAATAGCAAAATACACACGCAGGAAAATAAAATGTTGCGCGTGACTTACTGCATCTGGTTTCATCCGATCCGTCCGAGCAATCTTCGCGGCCGTTGCAGACGAGATGTTTGTCGATGCATTCGCCGTTCGCACAAGTGGCTTGGTACAAACCGCAGGCTGTGACCGGGCGAGGAGTCGGCGCAACATCTAAAGGAATATTTCATTATTACATCATCACTTTATCGTGCACCACAACATATTTATTACGACACAAATGATGTAGTAGCAAACTTACCAAATGTTTTATTTATAATTGTAAGCAGAGCAAAAACATTACATTTAATACATTGTGAATTCTATTAGTACTTTAACTGTTACCTGTGCCATGATACTCTGTCTCAATCTGTGGTAAAACACCATATTTTACAAATCCATGCCTCCACGCTGCATGGCATCACATGTTTTAGTAAACAATTCAATTGAAAGCAACAATAAATAAATAAACAAATATCACTTACAAGGATTGACCTCTAGATGCACTTGAATCTGCGCACCGGGAGTATGAGCTGGTATACCAATGGCGGAACAAATGTACGCTCCGCTATGGTTGCGCTGAATGTTGGGCATTTCCAAGCGTCCGTTTACGTCCCGGGATCCTGGCGGCAGAGGAAGTCCGTTGCCGCGCGTCCAACGAACCTTGGCGCGCATGGGTCCCTCGTCACGGCATTGGAACACAACCTCACGACCTACATGCACATTCAATTGTTAACACTCTTCATTGTTACAGTCACTGCAAGAATCCTCATGCAACGGATCCACCCCCAGATCAACCTGTTAAACTGTTACCATTTTATTTTAAATATACCACCCTGTTATTTTTGAGCATTCCGGTAAACATTCGTATACAAAATAAATAATAAGAATAATAATAAATAGTTAAATGATGTTTTGAGTTGTGTTGAGTGCTTCCAAATTCCACGAATGATGATTTTATAATGAATGTTTTATTCCATTGATTATTGCGAGAAATCTAAATAAAATAAAAACACGTAGCCCTTCTGCCTTAACAATCACAAAGAAGCAAAAATGTATTATAGGATTACACATCTACCTTGAGTTTATCAAAACAATAAAATAAATGCAAGAAATTTAATATAATTTTGAAGTTTTTTGATAAACTCGTATAGATTTTCTTGTAGCCCATAAAAAATTAGAAGCCCATCGGAAAAGAGAAATTTAAATTGTAATTAAAACATTCCATTGAATAATACGGAAATAGAAGAGGTCAAGGAATTCCTATATCTAGGAAGTATAATTGACATAAAAGGGGGGACCGACGCAGATATAAACAACAGAATAAAGAAAGCCCAGCAATCCTTCAGAATGCTGAGCACAGTATGGAAGTCAAGCGTCTATACACTAAGAACAAAACTGCGCATATTCCGCACAAATGTAAAATCCACCCTTTTATATGGATGCGAAACATGGAGGTCAACGAGCTCAAGCACACACAAACTCCAAACCTTCATAAACAAGTGCTTGAGAATGATCTTGCGCATATTCTGGCCAATGACAATCTCCAACGATGAGTTGCACCGTCGATGTGATGAAACTCCCATTATAAATCAAATACGCAAGAGAAAATGGGGGTGGATTGGGCACATCTTGAGAAGAGACGCCGGAGATATCGCCAGAAATGCGCTAGAATGGAACCCACAGGGGAAGAGAAGGGTTGGTAGACCGGCCAATACCTGGCGAAGATCCACAATAGAGGAGCTCCGAAACCAAAATATGGGCTGGAACGAAGCAAAGGCGGTTGCCCGAAACAGAGTCCGTTGGAGGGCGCTTAGTGAGGCTCTATGCTCCACATAGGAGCCAAGAACATTATATATATATATATTGAATAATACGACTCAAAGATTGAGAACAAGACTTAATAATGGCGGCATGACTAATGAACCAAAGTGTTGCGAGAGATTTTGTTCATTCCTTTCAGTTCAAAGTTACTCACCAATTCTATAATTGCCTGTTTGATAGTTCGACATAGAAAGGGGCAAATAAAGATGTAATTAGTAACATATTTACAATGTCAAAGATTCGCAGATTTCTACGCTCATCTCTTAACGTTATATTTCCTTCACCACTACCTCAACTACCCTTAAATATGTACACTATCCATAAATTACTCCTTTTCCATTAAAAAATTCTACTGATTGTAAAAAAACATGTTAATGATAAAAATGGTAACTTACTTTCTTTGATTTCCTGTTGACTTGGGTATGTCCTTAAGGCAAGACCATTGGTGGTATCATCTGTGAAATTAAATTATAACTAATAAAAAGAGTAAAATTACATATTAACAGTAAAATATTTAGCAACATTAGACAGTTAAATCGTTTTTCTTTAACATATTTTAGTTCAATATCAACAACATTATTATACAGGTGTAAATTGTTGTGAGTGGCATTAATCTGTTATGTATCTTGTATGGCGACATGTCTTACTGTAGAAAAAGTCAGGACAATCAGCTTCGTCACTTCTGTCCAACGGACAATCAACGCGGCCATTGCACACTAAAGATTTAGCTATACACGGCCCATTTTCACAACGGAACTCATCACGGGTGCACTTTGGTTCTTCGACTGTGTTTTACAATTAATTTCAACGTCAAGTAAAGAAACAAGAAGTAAAGTGTATATAGAAGTATAATACTTACCACAGTTGTCTTCATCAGATGCGTCCGGGCAATCCACGCGACTGTCGCAGTACTTCGCGTCAGGATAACAATGGCGGCTGCTACGACAAGACCGGTATCCAGGTGGACAATGATGTTGTGTCGGTGGTCGGTATGGATCCTCCGGATCCAAGACTGGTGGACGAGTGGGACATTGGTGTTCATCAGAGCCGTCTCTGCACTCCGGGCGGCCGTTGCAATGCAAATGGGCCGGAATACAATCGCCATCTCGGCACTCGAACTGATGGGGGGCACAACCACCTGTTGCGGATATAAACACACGCTGATGTTAGTCAGAAATACAACGCGATATATACGCATCATACCAAATTTACTGCAAACTATCTAACATCGCAACACAACCTATTTGCATCAATATATTTAAATGTAACACAGTAGTTAGTTTTACATAATTAATCGATTGTCTATCAATTTTACCGCTAGTCATTTAATTCCTACAGAGATGATAATAAATACGAAATAACAACAAATTTCAACTTAACGAATGTAAATAGAATATATATATATATATATATATAGATAGAAATATACTAAACATATAGAAATATGGTGCATAATAAAGTGCATTAAATTTATAAACGCTCATGCAAAAATAACCACGTCGAACACATTGAGGGCGCAAAGATAAAAACTGAATTAAAACTCAACAAAATCGAATAGTTTTGCGTGGTGTGTCGTGTGTATTGTTGCGAATGCTTCGGCTGCATTGTTACAACAGTCGGCGTAAATAGAAAGAGCTTTCCAATTAAAATTTCATTATAAATAAACTGCAAATATTAATAGAATTCAATTTAAAAATGCATTTATGACGTACAGTTATCCTGAATATTTCACTATTAAACTAGGAACGCGGTGAATGTATGTGCAAGCTTCGATTTAATTTTGAAAAGATGTGATTTACAATAAAGCTAATATTGATACAATTCGACGCGCAACAATTTTATGTACATGTTGGGAAGAAAATAATTGAATGGTGTTAAAAAGTGCCCAACATAAATTGAAATTGCTTTGACCCAAAAGTAAAAGTTTTGTAAAATAAAAAAATTTGGTTTTACGAGTGAAACAAGAATTCAATATTATTTTTCATATTTTTATGTTTACATGAATAGAATAGATTAAAGTTTAAAAAATATTATGTGCGCTTGTTTCGCTCGCATTAAAAATGTAAAAATCAACTGAAAAAACACATTTCACTCTAAGTTACAATCAAAAATTACACATTAATCAACGGCATCTGTAATATACTCTACCTACGACCCTATATAATACCCAAAATATACATAGGTTCGAAATAATCGTACACAATACAAGAATTTACTAAAATAACGTTTTCTTCCTTTGTTTCGATTAAATAATTAGAAAAGTTTTGTGTGTAGCTTCTCACATGTCTCAAATGAAATATCAAAACACTGTAATTTTACTAAAACTGTATCGGTACGAGTATTTCTCATCGATACGTTCGTTCGTCAAATATCTGCTCTATGAAATACACACCAATAGCTAAAAATCGAATGTATGTATATGTATAATAGTATAATTCAACGAGAGTTAAGAGGTAAAAAACACATCGCACGTATAAGTATAATTCTACCCAAAATTGGCTAACCGATGTGGCAGTTTTGTTCGTCTGAAAAGTCCCGGCAGTCGTAGTAATTGTCGCAGCGCAGATTCGCGGCGACGCAAGCCCCGTCCGCACACTGGAACCACTCGGGATCGGCGCACGTCTCTGGCCAAAAAGGGGGCCAGAAAATAACACGGTCGGTGTTATTTATAGAAATTTCCAATCACACATTCAATGCACTCACACACGCCAACACACGCAGCTCGAGTGTGTTGCAGTTATGAGATAATCGCATAAAACAAATTTCAAGAGAACATAAAACTTACCACAACTCTGCTCATCGGAACCATCACGACAGTCCTGGTAACCATTGCAGACCTTGGATTGATGAATACAGGTACCATCCGAGCATCGATGGCTACCAGCTGGACATGGTGGATTAATCACTGGACAATCATATTCATCCAAACCGTTGTTACAATCCCTACGACCATCACACTTTCTATCCAGTGGTATGCATTCGTTATCTTCGCATTGGAATTCGTCTGCTTCACACTCTAATTCTGTAAGCAACAATATATTAATCAGTAAATATTTTAGATTTATATTTACAATGTGTCACATCATGTTATTATGATAACTTACGACAACCACGTTCATCGGAACTATCCGGGCAATCGCTGTGACCATCACACTGGTTCGATATATTGATACAGGTCTTATCATCACATTCAAATTCATCATCACCACATGTAGCATCTAATACAGCAAAATAAAATTGTGATATAAATAAAATCGATAAAAACATGCTAAAAATTAGAAAATAAATTAAATTTACAGTCATCCCAAGCAAAGCTTTACAAATATTCAAATATTGCTACCCCCACCAATTTTAAAAGGTCTTAAACAACATACGACATGAACGTTCATCGGAGCCGTCCGCACAATCTCGATGTCCATCGCAAACAACTTTCGAGTTCAAGCACAGCCCATTTTCACATCGGAATTGACCATGCGGGCAATGATGGACTAAATACAAATATACTCAGAATTACCCCCCAATCTATCAATAATTATTTGGTTAATTTGTAAATTGTTTCAGTAGGCACCACACACCAAATATTAAACTCTTTATCAAAGAGTTGGTAATTTATTAGGTGATTATTGTTTTTATTTGATTTTTTCTCGCTATGAGTTTGTCTCATACCACATCCATGCTCATCTGAGCCATCACTGCAGTCCACACGTCGATCACAACGCTGTGTGTCCGGAATGCAATCGCCCGTGTTGCATTTGAACTGACTCGGAGCGCACACCCCGCAGTTCGTCTCATCGGTGCCGTCAATGCAATCGAATATGCCATCGCAGACGACCGCATTGTTCACGCAGGTGCCGTCGTGACACGTGAACTTGCACGCTTCTAATAACCCACCAACAAGTCACACAGATAAAATAGCAGAAAAACAACACACAGAAGCAAACACAAGCAATTGTTACAATATTTAATGAATGATTTATGAATTGAAATAAATGGAACACTAACCACAGTTGTTCTCGTCGGAACCATCAATGCAATCAGTGTAATTATCGCAACGATAGATTTTCTCTATACACTGGCCGTTATTGCACAAGAAATGATTTTCTCCAGCACAGACTTCGCTAGGCTCTGATACGGAAATGGCGATATGGTGAAGTGAAAACAAATGAAAGCAACACATTAGTCATAAACAGCTGCAATGTTTCAACAAGTAGCTGATGTGATCGCTCAAAAACTGACAGATACTCAAAATAAACATCAAAAACCGAAAATTTGAAAAATTGAAAAAAATTGTTACCCGGTTCATAAGTACAATCAAGTTCGTCATTGCCACTTGGACAGTCCTTAATCTGGTTGCATCGTTTATAATCTTCGATGCAGTATCCTGCGGCGCATTCAAATTCGGACTCGGCACATCCACCTGTGTTATCAATATATTTCACGAGTTGTAGTAAAACGTAATTGCACGAAATAAATAAATAAAACTCGCAAGCAATATCGCACGCGGCAAATGTTAGTCTATACCAGGTTTTATAGTAAAATTTGATGTACTATTCGACGTGGCACGGCCAATATCCTGCTTTAAAATTAGCCTTTATGCGTATGTAAAGCTTAATTTCGTTGCAGAGCAAACATTATGCAAACTGCGAATACTGCACAAGCCGTACCCAGCAACTAGCGTTTTGAAAAGAGCCTCAAAACGCAGGAAAATTCGCAGAAAAGATACCCACAGTAATTGTCCAGTTAAGTATTTAGCATTTACTAAAGTTGCAGAAATAGAAACTAAATTACAGTCACGTTAGAAAATTAACATTTTTCAAACGAAAAAAAAAACACTAGAGAAAAACAAAAGGAAATTGGAAGAAAAAAGAAGAGAGTATAAAACAAATTGTTTGGTCCCGAAAAGTGTCAAAGTGAGTTGTGTTACCTGTACCGTCTGGGTTAAATATATTTGCGGGCGGCGCAAGGGCAACTCCCGAAATTTCTTTGCATTGCTCTTCGTCTGAATGGTCAGCGCAATCGTATTGACCATCACATTGTTCGGTTAGTGGTATGCATTTTTCGTTATTCCAACATCGGAACTCCTTATCGTACATGCATTTCAGATAGGTGTCTAAATATATGCAAATCGTAATACATGCAAACATCATGCACACAACCAACACCGGCAGGGCAACCGGAAACAAAAATTAAAATCAACACCTAAATAATAAAATCAACCAGAGGAAAATAAATTAAAAAAGAATAACAACCATGAAGGAACTAAAGAAATTGGGTACAAAAACAAAATATGTTTCAATATCCCAGGAAGATTTAAGAATAAACGAAAAAAATATTTTCAAAGAGAGCCACCCCCTTACCGCGACACTTAGCAGGATCCTCATCGCTACCATCTTTACAATCCTTCTCCCCATCACAACAGTAAACCGATTCAATGCAATCCCCGTTCGAGCAACGAAACATGCCATCAGGACATTTCCCTAAATTAACCATAATCAATGATTGTGTGATTGTGATAGTAGTAATGCAGCCAACACCAAAACAAGATGTCGAATTTAAAAAAAAAGTAAACAATTGACTAACCGCAGTTCTCTTCGTCTTCGTTGTGCTCACAATCTTGTACACCATTACACTGTTTATCCAAGTTAAGACACGTGCCGTTGCTACAGCGGAACTGATCGCTCGAGCAACAATTCAACTCGTCGGACTTGTCCGCACAGTCATTTCTCCCGTTGCAGAATAAGATTTGATCAATGCATGTGCCATCACGGCAGGGTTTTTGATGATGTTGGCAATGCCCGGGCGCTAATTCAAAAAATATTTACATGTAATAAAAATTTTTCTAAAAAAAATCGAGAAACCTTCACCAAAAAATAAAAATAATAATAATAATAATAACTACCACCACTACCATTATCATATCACTAAACCCAGTTTTCTCAAAATGCTTAGAAATAAAAATGACCAGCACCCATTCAATTTACCCCCTTAAACCCCTGTAATATTTGTTTGTTTATATTTCAGCGCATTGTATTCCTATTCCTATTTTTGTTAAATCAACTTGTGTGTATCTACCTAATGTTTGCACAATCGTTCGGTTATAATTTTCGCAATTTCGTTCGTCGCTGCGGTCTTGACAGTTACTCCTTCCGTCGCAGCGTAGATGTCCTCGAATGCACGCGCCATTGTCACAGACAAAGTGATTAGGCGGGCACGCTGAAAATCAGAAATGGACCATGCCAATAGATCGAGATAAGTTCAAATAACATCTTGTTATTGACACCACTAGACACGAAAAAGAGAGAAATCGAGTATTATTCACGATGAGTGCATAGTAGAGATCATTTTCTGGATGATGAAGTGAGATTTAATCACAATGAGAAAGTAAAATCTCTTCAAGAGATAAAAATAGTCATTTTGTTGAAGAAAAACATAAATCCAAATCAAATATTATCATGTCAGTTGTAATATCATTATTTAACGACCGGATAATATTTGATAAGCTATTGAACATTTTGCTAATTAATTTTCCCAATAATTGAGTGTTAGAAATTCAATATTCGATTTTGAATTTACTCGTGAACATGTAATCCCCAGTTAGTCACAATCGTGGCGAATATAATTGATAAATTCATCAATTATCAACAAATACAGAAAAAATAGAGAAAAATCACACGAGTGGATATAGAATTAGTCACCAAATGATTTGTTGAAAATTTAAGACAACAAATAAAATACCATATCTAAGCCTAAATGTGGAGGAACGAATAGATGACCATAGTAATAATTAGCACGAGTGTTGATTGCTGTTGTTGATTTGGATGATCCATGGAACTTACGGCAATTTCGTTCGTCAGCGCCGTCATTGCAATCCGGACGTGAATCGCATCGTTGCGCTTGCGGTATGCACATGCCGTCCCCGCATTGAAATTCTGTGCGATTACATTTTAGATCTAAACATGCAAGGTATATTTATGCATCAATTGCGGTCGTCGAATTCGAACAACGAATTGTGCGATGTTGAAGAAGAACAATATAAATTTATATCTTTTATATGCGCTTTTTTGAGCTATCAGAGCAAATTTTCATTTTTGTGCAAAGTAATTTTGCATTCATTTTAATTTTACAAATTGGGCCAACATGAAATATTGGCCCACCTTAAACCACAGTTAAACGTTAAAGCCACGCAATACTGCAGAAAATGCGCAAAACCTCATATTGCATTCACCTAAACGTAATTACAGACAACAATCGCTGTTTGGCAAATGTGTAGCATCATGCAAAATATTGACATGCTCAAGTGCTCAAGCTCAAACAATTTTCGGCTGCAAGAAATCGTCATGCTTATCGTTGCAAAAAAATAAATAAAAACTCCAAAAACAGAAATTCAAGCTGAAAATGTACTCACGAGATGTTGTTTGACAACCGTACTCGTCCTCGCCTCTTTCGCAGTCCGCCCTGTGATCACAACGGCGGCTATTATCGATACATTGACCGTTGTCACATCTAAATTGTCCGGATTGGCATGCTTTCGCTGGAAAACGAAATAAATAAAAATTAGAATAAAGCCAAAGCAGGGAAAACTGGGATTGGTCGAATAAACACGCCAGTATTAAGTGACAAGAATGTGACCACCAAGGAAAATAAACAGCAAATCATACATATATCACGCTTAAAATGATAGCTTATTATAATAAGCTTATGAAAATAGCCGTGAAGCGTTGACGTGTAAATTGAGGCAAAATCCTCTATGATGGGATATGGGATACAGAATCCCCAAGAGAATACAAAACCAAATAATCATAGGTACAGAATGGGGAAAAATATTTTGAATTAAATTCTATATCAAAGAATAAAATAGGATTTGTTTAGAAATTTGATTTTTTTAAAATTAGTTTTCGATACAGAATTCAAAATATCAATAAAATTTAAGGAAAAAAATCGCCTGTCTTTGCATAATTATCACTATGAGTATTTTATCATTTTATAATTAATATTACAAAAATTCTATTAAAAATATTTAATTTTTTATGATTTTTTGCTTGTTTTTTCTTGACAACAAAACAAAATATAAAAAACTCTAAGAATTTTAATTTAAACAATTTATATTATATATAATATTTTTCCTCGATGTAAAACTGTAAGAAATGTTTGTACTGTCAATAAATATCTAGATACTAATAAATCACCACCTTGTTCGTGAATAAATAAATAAAAGCAGAATAACCTAAAGTGGCCGCCGGCGACGACTACGCAAAGAAGCAAGAATTGACTAGATAATTAGCATACTTTATAAAGTTTAGCAGCGAAACTAGCAACCTGTTAATGCTTGATAAATAATTTATTAGATTATAGATTAGACGCAATTAGACGCCGAAGGTTAGCCGGGTAAGATGAGGGGGTGTGGACGTGTCGAAGTAGCAAGTTTGTTATCGGCATCAAATGCGGTGTACAATACAAAACGCATACGCAAATCGATTTCTGTTCATTCCCGTCCTTCGTAAAATTTATTTTACGAAATGATGTGTAAAATTGCCGCAGCGTATCTGCGATAAGACTTTAATACGCCTATTGTTATTGCAGCAGCGATATGCGCTCGTTATTTGGAGCGCACTCTCGATAATAATGCAACAAACTATTTTTACACAATAATCAAACTTAATCAGTTCCAGATTACACATGAATTCATTGTGATTCCATAATCATATGTTAAAATACAAATTCGTTGATGATTTGCATAGAAAATCGCAAAATTTCCCACAAAAACCAAACAAAAATCTAATTTATTTTTGCTGTTTGTTATAATGATCGTATGCTGATGATGGAGTAAACATTGTATTATTAGCATATGTAGGTATGTCCAATTCAAGTTCACATTTGTAATTGAGCCTTGAGGGCACACCGATAAAATTAATAATTAATTCGATCGCAATTCAGATGCGTGCGCGCCGTGTTCTGCGATGATTTATGAATACAAATGTTTCGTTGGTTTTAGTTCAATTTATCAATCGGTTAATAATTGCCGAGAACGCGACGTTCGCCCCGAAATTTGATTACGATGCGATAGCGTTCAGATTTTGACGTGACGCAGCGCACGCTGAATAATGCTTGCAATTAACTTCAAAAAAGATTCCGATCCGAAAATAACCTCAAGGCAAATATTGCTATGGGAACAAATTTAATTAAAACTGAAAATTGACTAGGAAATAAAATTTTTGATTTTATTTTAAAAGTTTAACCAGCCAATGATCTAACAAACCAGCGTTAGAGTGAAATAAGACACACAAAGCATACACGTCGGTGATAGTCTCACAAGTAGTCGCATACTTGACGCGTAGTTTACATCCCTTACAGGTGGAAAGCGTCGTTTCGTTCAACATGCCGATATCGCGTTTCACACGGCAATATTTAGATCGTTTCGAGTGTTGCCTTTGTGACATTAAACCCACCCCTCACACAAAGGGGTACCTACCTATCGATGGCGCATCGCGCCAAATTCCGAAAACTGATCTAATGTTATCCAACACTTCGTTTTCCAAGCGCCTTCGTCTTAGGTACACCAGAATCTTACTCCTACTAAATTAAATAGATCAAATTCATGTGTGTAAAAAATTACATCTGGGCGAAAATTTATTGTGTAGACAATGACAATTCTTGGGAATGCAAATGCGGCCTAATAAAACGATTTAATTCGTGACCGCATCGAAATAAACGTATTTACAAGGGTGCAATAAATAATTAACGATGTTTATCTAGGATGCGAACGAAAACGTGGCCTCGGCTAGAAGATGCGCGCTACCTTTCGACAGTTGTTCATCCAAAGAGAGGGAGCAGCCCGCCCAAAAATTATGCAAAGCCAATTATACAAAGACCTTAGCAGAGACCTTGCGCCCCGAATTATTAAAACCGAATTGGAAGCAGATACACACCACCACTTCACCTAAGGACCGCATTTTCTGATTTAAATAATAAACCAAGTATCCATCTAATCCGCAAATTGAATTCGAAACATTTACAATTCAATGATTCATTAGATCATTTTCAATAAATACGTAAATTGAATTTTATTATTATCACGAGCATTTGCATAATACACCGATTAAAATGCCGAACTTAATTAATTAGTAATCGGATTATAAACTCGTGCTTAAAAATCGCCACTTGCCGATGAAAGCTTTTTAAAGCGCGCTGTCGACATGAGTGTCACATCAGCGATAGAAAAATTAAACACGTTTCATTGGCGCAGCGTGTATGAAAATTAAAACTCGTCCTGGCTGCCAGAGAGTTATATATATGCATCAATTTTAATCAAATTAACACTCCATTAAATGTATTACCTATCCTTTACAAAATTTGCTTTTTGCAACGCGCCGCGCGCGCTGATATTATTATTGGCATGTTGGTTTCGAAAATCTACGAACGTCGTTTTACATAATTTGATGTGTCAAACAATAGGTTTCAGCGTTGTTACCACACTTTTCAAAATCAGTTGCGCCCGTTTCACGCTACTGACATGCGGCATTTCCTTTCGTCAGCCCAGTGTTCTGCTCAAATTGATAAATGAATATTGTACAGAATGAATTGACTTTTATACCATTTATTATCTATCAACACATTAATAAAATTATTTAGCAGCTATGAAAAGTGAGTTATTTTTTGTTGCAAAAAATTAAAAAATGTGAATAATACAATATCGCAATAATTTATCATACAATTAATTTATTTCTGTGTTAAGTAGGATAAATAAATGTATAATGAGTCATAGTTTACACATTTGCAGTAATGCAGTAGCACATTATCATTATGCAAATAGTGTTTTCGTCGTCATCGGAATTCAATGTCTTCAATAACGCACAAAAACAAGAAAACCGACCGGTGGAAGCCCCGACAACGTATAAATCGCGATAACGGATCGTTTCGCACGTTCACGCTGCGTGCCGTGAAATCCATCCGCAAAGCCAGCGACCAAATATACTCCAGACCCCTGCGCATCCAGAGGGATGCCATAGTGAAACGTTTATGTAGATTTGCACGCACATAATAATACACTGGCAACTTTCGCCGAACAGAGGAATAGCGATATGTTTAAAGAGGGATCGTTATGCACCCTATAATAGCGGTGCTGGTTGCCAGCAACGAGTAAATGATTAAAACTCGTGGCGTGGAAGGATAAAATTACGCGAAATTAATTAAAACAACAACGTGCCGGAGGTAGCGGTTGTAGAGATGCTCTCAGCGTATCAAGAACCAAAACAAAACATGAAAAATCACAACAGCAAAATAACAAGAAAACTATGGCAGTAGGTTACTTCACATACAAAACGCAAGTATGAGTAAAACATGTTAATCTATCTGGGACCTAGGAAACTATGAAACATACGCTGATATGCAGCATGACGTGGAGTTTTTGAAACATTTGCACAGCGTTTGTGAATTTAACGAGGTCATCTAACCGAGAAATGCAAATGAATTGCGTAAACGCGGTAAACAAACAAACTGGTGATAAATAAATCTCGGTAAAGGGTGGTAATGGCGGTGTTGACCATTCTCTATGATGATGATGATCGTGTCTGTGTGCGGGGGCGCAACAGTGGCTGCTTTGTGACGACGCTTTGAGGTTGGCGGCGACATCGAAATTTAGCTATCAGCGATATTCAATCGAGCTCGTCACGTTGTACGCTAGCGAAGCCAGTTAGATACGCGGATTACGCGTTTCGTTACATTGTCGTTATACGAGAGTCACCATCATAATAGGGATCAAACCACTCGTGTGCGAAACATTCATTAGTTTCCACTTTCAAAACCAGAAAATACTCAAAAAATAAATTCCAACTTTATTAGCGATTTTAATAAAAATGATTTATAATTTATAATTGATGCATGCGTGCGGTAACAAAACCAATTTGTTCAAATTAAATTCGAAACGTTGCGTAAAATTTTGGCTGAATTGTAGAGTTATCATACAATTAATACGATGACAGCTTTTGCACAATGTGACATTGTTAGCATGCCCTAGATTTAAGTGCTACTTCACTAAAACGCATTCAAAACGACAAAAAAAACGAGTGAACACTGTCGACAGTCATTAATGCTCTTTTTACAGCTGTTATCTTTTAATATCTTTCAAGATACTTGCGTTGCGTCCAAACAATATGCATTAAAGTATAAAACAAACTCCTATTGATTTTATACGCGACATAAACAGAATGCGCATAATGTTAAAGTTTATTTCGATTTTAACGAGCTTGTTCTATATGGTCAACGAGAAAATAAAAAAAGAATGATAAGTACTTTTATTTCATTTTATGTAACTTTTTGGTTTTCTACCATCGAACACAAACAAAAACCGAACATTCGCATGGTTAATGCGACGAAATGTTTATACGCTTCGAATTTAAATAAAAATTATGTCGTTTGTTTAATATTTGTTGTAAACAGTTAATCTACGTCCATTATCTAGGCGCGCAAGCAACAATAACAAAAAAGCGTCATAAAAATGCGGCTGCCGGCTACTAAATAAAAGTGATTGATGAC